CCTGCAGAGACGGCGTGCTGACGAAGGGTCCAACATCAGAGTGAGCTTCACGCCACGTTATTCTGAGACAATAAACTGGAGGTGATTTGTAAACCTGTGGATGACCTCCAGTAACCTCTCTACTGATCGGCGTCCGGCGTGCTGAAGACCTGACTTGAAGGTCAGTGCAGAATCTGGTGTAAGTTTTCACTAACTTCACATCACGACTGCTGATTGGTCCTGATGTTCCTTTGAAGGTGTGGTCTTTCTGCGTCCAGGTGTTGGTGTCTGCAGGAAGAACCTAGAAGCTTCTCCAGACTTTACAAACAGGAGGTCAGACCTCACGCTGTTCAACCCCCCTGCAAACCTCTTTTACCTTTTACCCACAGTCCCCAGGGAGAGACACTGCTGCATGATGGGACGCACACACATGGACAGAGAGACACACACTCTAAATAAATATAAACATTATTTATGGCTTTAAAGTCAGGAGTATTTAGTAGTGTTGTGTGCTGTCTCTGTGTGTTGCTGCCTCCTGCTGGTCGACCATCTGAACTGCAGCTGCTCAGTCTGAGAGGACGTCTGCTGTCGGTGGTTCTGGACTCTCATCCGGTATTCCTTCAGTTAATCGTAGATTAAGACAGAGGACACGCTCATTGATATAAGGCTCAAGCTCTCAGCTGGTCAGAGCGCCACCATCAGGGCGCAGGAGGTAGGAGCTAGAGTTTGACACTGAGGTGAATTTTAGCTCCAACGCAGAGATGCTTTGTAACAAAGGTCAACAAGAACTGTTCTGCCTTCATGAAGTTCCATGTTTTTTTTTTACAGATATGACAGTCTGTCAACATGTTCTGTAAAGAAAGGCAACACTTTATAGCGTCAAGACCAAAACTTCTCTCTAACAGGTAAAGTCAGATCCATCAGAGGAACCTCACTGACCGGTGGACAGGTGGTGTGGAGGATCAGTCCTGTCAGACAGCCCCACGTACAGGTTCTGGTCCCCCCTCCTGGCCCCTGTAAAGAGCAACAGATTCAGGCTCACCACCTCTCCCTTCTGAACTCTGAAGTCAGGCCGGGAGCTAGATAACAGATGGTGGTGTTTAAAGTGTTTCACGTGTCACAGTGGTGCTGGAGGCCAGGGCGATGCCATCAAGGGAAACTATATCTTTAGATATCAGACCTGAGGTCTGAGGTGCTTAGGCCCCAGAACAATAACTTCAGTTTTATCTGAGTTTAACATTAGAAAATTACAGGTCATCCAGGTTTTAACATCCTGAAGGCACATTTGAAGTTTAGCTAACTGATGAGTTTCATCTGGTTTGATTGATAGATATAACTGAGTATCATCTGCATAACAATGAAAGCTTATGGAATATTTCCTGAGGGAAGCAAAGCAGTCTAAACATATATCTGGTTCTACAGCTGTTTCTAAGGTTCCTGAGTTTAGAGATAAGTCGGTGCCAGTTGAGGGCAGGTCTTGGTGAATTTTGTTTCTAATAGTTAGAATTTTATCATTAAAGAAGCTCATGAAGTCGTAACTACTGAGAGCTATGGGAATACTTGGCTCAATAGAGCTGTGACTCTCTGTCAGCCTGGCTACAGTGCTGAAAAGAAACCTGGGGTTGTTCCTATTTTCCTCTATTAATGACGAGTAGTACGCTGCTCTGGCATTACGGAGGGCCTTCCTATAAGTTTTAAGACTATCTTGCCAAATTAAACGAGAATTTTCCACTTTGGTGGAACGCCAATTCCTCTCAAGTTTCCGCAATATTTGCTTTAATTTGCGAGTTTCAGTATTATACCGTGGAGCTAACCGTCTTTGTTTTAGTATTTTCTTTTTTAGAGGGGCTACAGAGTCCAGTGTCATTCGCAGCGAGCCTGCAGCACTATCAACAAGATGATCGATTTGGGAGGGACTGAAACTAGCATAGGAGTCCTCCGTTACTTTGTGACTAGATAATGTATTTAGAGCTGATGGAATCGCATCCTTAAATTTAGCTACAGCACTATCAGACAGACATCTTGTATAGAAATTTTTGCCCAATGGCGTGTAGTTCAGCAATACAAACTCAAAAGTTATCAAACAGTGGTCGGACAAAGAGGGATTCTGTGGGAACACCACTAAATGTTCAATTTCAATACCATACACCAAAACAAGGTCGAGGGTGTGGTTAAAACAGTGAGTCGGTTCATGAACACTCTGAGAGAAGCCAAAGGAATCTAACAGAGAGATAAACGCAGTACCGAAGCTGTCATTCTCAACGTCCACATGAATATTAAAATCTCCTACAATAATAACTTTGTCCGTTTTAAGGACTAAAGTTGACAAAAACTCTGCAAATTCAGATAAGAATTCAGAGGACGGACCAGGTGCTCGGTAAACTATAACGAAGAGAATTGGTTGCAGTGATTTCCAACTTGGGTGCAAAAGACTAAGAACAAGGCTTTCAAATGAGTTATAGTTTGGTTTAGGTTTAGAGCTGATTAGTAGGCTAGAGTCGAAGATAGCTGCAACTCCACCTCCTCGGCCTGTGCCTCGAGGAATGTGAGTATTAATATGACTGGGAGGGGTGGATTCATTTAGGCTAACATATTCTCCATCACCCAGCCAGGTTTCAGTAAGACAAAATAAATCAATATTATAATCTGATATTAGTTCATTTACTTTCCTATTCGTTTGCACTATTGCTCTTGTGGTTTTAATTTTTATGAGGTTTTTATGCACAGCTCCTCTTCTGTTTACCTTTTTAAATAATTTCGATGGTCGGGGGGCAGACACCGTCACTATAGGGTTTTCACTAAGTAATTCCTGAAATGGAGGAGCAGAGAAGTGTGTTAGACTGCGACTCTGCGTAGGGTTTTGGGTGGGTAACTGCTGAAAAAGAAGGGCAGAGAAGTGTGTTAGACTGCGACTCTGCCTCCTGGTCTCAACTCTGGGTTGTCATGGATTTGGTCTACTAATAAACTTGGCCAGATTTCTAGAAATGAGAGCTGCTCCTTCCCAAGTGGGATGGATGCCGTCTCTCCGGATCAGACCAGGTCTTCCCCAGAAGGTCTGCCAATGATCTACAAAGCCCACATCGTTTGCTGGACACCACCTCCACAACCAGCGGTGGAATGACGACATGCGGCTATACATGTCATCACTGGTCAGATTTGGCAGGGGTCCAGAGAAAACTACGGTGTCCGACATTGTTTTTGCATATGTACACACCGACTCAACATTAATCTTAGTGACCTCCGATTGGCGTAACCGGGAGTCATTACCGCCGACGTGAATAACAATCTTACTGTATTTACGTTTATCCTTAGCCAGCAGTTTCAAATAAGACTCAATGTCGCCCGCTCTGGCCCCAGGGATGCACTTAACTATGGCCGCTGGCTTCGCTAACTTCACGTTTCTCAAAATGGAGCTGCCAATGATCAGAGTTGGTTTCTCAGCGGGTGTGTCGCTGAGTGGGGAAAATCTGTTAGAAACGTGAACAGGTTGGTGATGCCCCGTGGACTTTGAATGCTTACGACTATTCCTCCTTCAGACAGTCACCCAGCCCCCCCTCCTTCCTGGCTGCACAGGAGATGCCGGAGGACGGCTACCAGAGGCTAACTCAGGCCGTTCCGCACCGACTACCGGGGACTGGCTAGCTACAGTAGCTAAAGACTGATCTACCAAGGTGCAGAGCCGGACTTCTAAATCACTGAGCCTCGCCTCCATGTCTATAAATAAACTATACTTATTACACGTACCATTACCGCTAAAGGAGGCAGAGGAGTAACTGAACATCTGACACACCGAGCAGGAGAATGTAGGAGAGAGAGAGGGAGAAGGAGAAGCCATCATGTGTCTCTCTAACATAAACTCAAAGCAAGATGTGGTAGTTGGGGTGGTCAGGCAATGGGTGACGTCTGGATTGCAGAGAAGGCAGAATAGAAAGTAGTTTGACCAAGTGGAGCTTTAGCTCCCCTGGCTCACAGGTCCCAGGTGCACCCGATCAGCAATCACCTCAACAGAACAAAGATGGTTAACAGTGGTGAGGTGTCACTCCCACAGAGAGTGATCACACAGGGGCCGTCACACACAATGTTTCACAACGATTCACGATGTTTCACAATGATTCACTGTGTTTCAAGATGTTTCACTGTGTTTCACGATGATTCACGATGATTCACAATGATTCACAATGATTCACTGTGTTTCAAGATGTTTCACAATGATTCACAATGATTCACAATGATTCACTGTGTTTCAAGATGTTTCACAATGATTCACTGTGTTTCAAGATGTTTCACTGTGTTTCACGATGTTTCACTGTGTTTCAAGATGTTTCACAATGATTCACAATGATTCACGATGTTTCACTGTGTTTCAAGATGTTTCACAATGATTCACAATGAGTCACTGTGTTTCACGATGTTTCACGATGTTTCACGATGTTTCACGATGTTTCACGATGTTTCACGATGTTTCACTGTGTTTCACGATGTCTCACTGTGTTTCACGATGTTTCATGATGTTTCACGATGTTTCACTGTGTTTTAAGATGTTTCACAATGATTCACAATGATTCACGATGTTTCACTGTGTTTCAAGATGTTTCACAATGATTCACAATGATTCACTGTGTTTCAAGATGTTTCACAATGATTCACAATGATTCACTGTGTTTCAAGATGTTTCACTGTGTTTCAAGATGTTTCACAATGATTCACTGTGTTTCAAGATGTTTCACTGTGTTTCAAGATGTTTCACAATGATTCACTGTGTTTCAAGATGTTTCACTGTGTTTCAAGATGTTTCACAATGATTCACAATGATTCACTGTGTTTCAAGATGTTTCACTGTGTTTCAAGATGTTTCACAATGATTCACAATGATTCACTGTGTTTCAAGATGTTTCACAATGATTCACAATGATTCACTGTGTTTCAAGATGTTTCACAATGATTCACAATGATTCACTGTGTTTCAAGATGTTTCACTGTGTTTCAAGATGTTTCACAATGATTCACTGTGTTTCAAGATGTTTCACTGTGTTTCACGATGTTTCACTGTGTTTCAAGATGTTTCACAATGATTCACAATGATTCACGATGTTTCACTGTGTTTCAAGATGTTTCACAATGATTCACAATGAGTCACTGTGTTTCACGATGTTTCACTGTGTTTCAAGATGTTTCACAATGATTCACAATGATTCACGATGTTTCACTGTGTTTCAAGATGTTTCACGATGATTCACTGTGTTTCAAGATGTTTTACAATGATTCACGATGATTCACTGTGTTTCACGATGTTTCACTGTGTTTCACGATGTTTCACTGTGTTTCAAGATGTTTCACTGTGTTTCAAGATGTTTCACAATGATTCACAATGATTCACGGTGTTTCACTGTGTTTCACTGTGTTTCACGATGTTTCACGATGTTTCACTGTGTTTCAAGATGTTTCACAATGATTCACAATGATTCACGATGTTTCACTGTGTTTCACAATGTTTCAAGATGTTTCACAATGATTCACAATGTTTCAAGATGTTTCACTGTGTTTCAAGATGTTTCACAATGAGTCACTGTGTTTCACAATGTTTCACGATGTTTCACAATGATTCACAATGATTCACGATGTTTCACTGTGTTTCAAGATGTTTCACAATGATTCACTGTGTTTCAAGATGTTTTACAATAATTCACAATGATTCAGTGTTTCACGATGATTCACTGTTTCAAGATGTTTCACGATGTTTCACGATGATTCACTGTGTTTCACAATGATTCACTGTGTTTCAAGATGTTTCACGATGTTTCACTGTGTGTCAAGATGATTCACTGTGTTTCACTGTGTTTCACTGTGTTTCACTGTGTTTCAAGATGTTTCACAATGATTCACAATGATTCACTGTGTGTCAAGATGATTCACAATGATTCACTGTGTTTCAAGATGTTTCACAATGATTCACTGTGTGTCAAGATGATTCACGATGATTCACTGTGTTTCAAGATGTTTCACAATGATTCACTGTGTTTCACAGTGTTTCAAGATGTTTCACGATGTTTCACTGTGTGTCAAGATGTTTCACAATGATTCACTGTGTTTCACAATGTTTCACTGTGTTTCAAGATGTTTCACAATGTTTCACTGTGTTTCAAGATGTTTCACAATGATTCACTGTGCTTCAAGATGTTTCACTGTGTTTCAAGATGTTTCACAATGATTCACTGTGTTTCAAGATGTTTCACTGTGTTTCACAATGATTCACGATGTTTCACTGTGTTTCACGATGTTTCACAGTGTTTCAAGATGTTTCACAATGATTCACAATGATTCACGATGTTTCACTGTGTTTCAAGATGTTTCACAATGATTCACAATGATTCACGATGTTTCACTGTGTTTCAAGATGTTTCACAATGATTCACAATGAGTCACTGTGTTTCAAGATGTTTCACGATGTTTCACGATGTTTCACGATGTTTCACGATGTTTCAAGATGTTTCACAATGATTCACAATGATTCAAGATGTTTCACAATGATTCACTGTGTTTCACTGTGTTTCAAGATGTTTCACAATGATTCACAATGAGTCACTGTGTTTCAAGATGTTTCACGATGTTTCAAGATGTTTCACAATGATTCACAATGATTCAAGATGTTTCACAATGATTCACTGTGTTTCAAGATGTTTTACAATGATTCACAATGATTCAGTGTTTCACGATGATTCACTGTTTCAAGATGTTTCACGATGTTTCACGATGTTTCACGATGATTCACTGTGTTTCACAATGATTCACTGTGTTTCAAGATGTTTCACGATGTTTCACTGTGTGTCAAGATGATTCACAATGATTCAATGTGTTTCACAGTGTTTCACAATGTTTCACGATGTTTCACTGTGTTTCAAGATGTTTCACGATGTTTCACTGTGTGTCAAGATGATTCACAATGATTCAATGTGTTTCACAGTGTTTCACAATGTTTCACTGTGTGTCAAGATGTTTCACAATGATTCACTGTGTTTCACAATGTTTCACTGTGTTTCAAGATGATTCACAATGATTCACTGTGTTTCACAGTGTTTCAAGATGTTTCACAATGATTCACTGTATCCATGTCCTGCTGTGAAACCAGTTCTTAACAAGAAGATTTAGAACTCCATGGAGGTCTGACGTCTGATTTAAGTGTTGTTTTTTTTAGTATAATGGAGGAAAAGGAGAACAGGTTGGCTGGTCGGGTGGAACTCGTTACCTGTCAGGTGCGTGCAGAGGGGGCGGGGCCACAGTAAAGCAGATTACCTGACAGGTTTACTGCTGCCGGACTTTAGATTCTGATAAACTAGGTGAGCTCGTAAATGTGACATCATTAATCTTTATTGAACAGTTGGGTAGGCGACATTTGATCCGCTTGTTTTTTAACTATTGATTATTGAGATTTATTTAAAGTTTGATTGGCAGCTCTGACAGGTCGTCACTCAGACTCTGATTCTTCTTAAATCATCACAAAGATCATTAAACACTTTATTTGATATTTAATTAATCATTTAATCATTTAAATCAATCTAATAATAATAATCTTGTAACCAATAGTTTCTTAATATTTTAATCAGCATGACGACAGAGTGATGTTTTCATTTCAAAGTAGAATAAATCTCTTTCAGGATATTTTCTAATATAAATATTGGGTCAACAATATTCGACTCTGCAGAGACAGTGTTAATGATTATTAGCTGCTTTATTGATAATGAGTCAGCTCAATAAAAGCTGATCACAGATCAGATTCAGAGTCTCGGAGGACAACAGTCAGTTTGTGACTTCAGATTTAACCAAACAGACCTGACGTCTGCTGCAGGTGTACTAACTCAGGTGAGTCTGGTTCTTTTTCTTCCCTGAAGGTCCGATCACGTCTGATGTTTTTTTTCTAATTTGAACTTGTTTGAATATTTCATTCTTTAGAAAGTGATTACTTTTCAGACTATTGATTATAGAAACACTAATGAGGTTGGTGTCTGTTGGAGTGGAAATAAATCTGGGTTAAAGGACGACATCACAGAACATTCGGGTTCAGATGAACTCTGGAACCGGGTTCCTTTCTGTATTGGTTCTGTTCATTCTGGACTGAACAAGTCAGAACACGTTCCTGATCCACAGTCCTCCTCCTGTGGACCAGTATAGTCTAAAGATTAAGTTTATCTGATATTAATCTGAAATTATCTATCAGATTAATCTGACATTCTAACGTTAATCTAAGGTTAATCTGAAGTTATTGTGAAGATAATCTGACATTAATCTGAGGTAAGGGTGTACACCTGCAGCAGCCTGATGTGCATTGCTTTGTGGGTAAAAGTGGATCCTGTACGGAACAGGGATCCAGAGAAGAGGTCTTAGTGTAGTGGTGATGGTGATGTGAGACCGTTTATCGATTACCTGCAGGCAACCACGAGCAGACACGCTAAGTGGGGAGAACAGTAGCTTGTCCAAACATCTAGTTCAGCTGTTGAGACTACAGATCTCAGTTTATGGAGATTTATCTGATAGTGTTTAGACAGTTTAGGAGCCCAGATAATCCAGAGGCATCCCTGGGTTCGAAAGAAAGACTTGGATGTCGTTGGCATATCTACGATCTGTTCGAACGGCAGCAGACATAAAGAGAATAACAGGGGCCCCAGGACCGAGCCCTGGGGGACACCACAGGAAACAGACTCAGACATCATGTCTCCAATAGAGACAGGATGTAAACCAGTCTAATCCTGAGGCCCCCAGGCCACCTCTTATCAGGAGACGATGGTCTGTTGTCTGAAACGTAGAGCTGAGGTCTGGAAGTACCAGCACAGAGTACTCACCTGCATCAGAGAACATTAGTGGTCGTTAGAGACCAGAGCCGTCTCAGTACAAGGCTGTAAACCCTGACAGAAAGCGTGCTTGGAACAGGAAGGGAATCCTCCTGTAGAGAACAGGTGACGACAGCGAGGCCAGAGAAAGGCAACACTTTATAAAATAAGATGGTCCTACATCCTGAGGGCTAAAGGAGAGCTCCGACAGACATCAGCTCACCAACAGAGAAGGTAAAGAACATTGTAACACTTTATGTGGATGGTCCGCCTGCAGCTGTCAGGATGAAACGCCTGTCGTCTCTGGAGCTTCTCCTCAGCTGCGTGTCCTCTCTTCTTCTGGTCTGTTGTGTCGGACTGATCGTGGTTTCCTGGATCAGCCTGAAGCCTGAAGGTAAATGCAGACTCTGGGTTTGAAGAGCTGAATAGGTGTCAGCAGATTTTATTGTGATGTTGTTGTTGTTTGTGTGCCGAGATGGCGAGGAGCCAGCGGTGCTGACGGCTCGGATGGTGATCACGCAGGGAGCCGTTTTCTCCGAAGAGCTGAACAACTCCAGCAGTCTGCTCTTTAAAGCTCTGGCCTTCGACGTCCAAACCCTGGTGAGACCACAGGCTTTTATTTTGAAAGTAACAGGTAGCTTTAACCCCCAACCTGTACGAGAGCACGGTGTTGGTGGATTCGGGTCCAAAGCTTCACCTCTTACTGCAAAGTATTTCACTTTTTAACAAAAAGTATGTACCGTAAAGTACACCCTATAAAGTATACCGGCCAAGTACATAAGCTTAAAGTACGTACCATAAAGTACACACTATAAAGTATACCAGCCAAGTACCTAAACTAAAAGTACGTACCATAAAGTACACACTATAAAGTATACCAGCCAAGTACCTAAACTAAAAGTATGTACCATAAAGTACACACTATAAAGTATACCAGCCAAGTACCTAAACTAAAAGTACGTACCATAAAGTACACACTACAAAGTATACCTGCCAAGTACATATACAAAAGTACGTACCATAAAGTACACACTATAAAGTATACCGGCCAAGTACCTAAACTAAAAGTACGTACCATAAAGTACACACTAAAAAGTATACCGGCCACGTACATATACTAAAAGTACGTACCATAAAGTACACCCTATAAAGTATACCAGCCAAGTACATAAGCTTAAAGTACGTACCATAAAGTACACACTATAAAGTATACCAGCCAAGTACCTAAACTAAAAGTACGTACCATAAAGTACACACTACAAAGTATACCTGCCAAGTACATATACAAAAGTACGTACCATAAAGTACACACTATAAAGTATACCGGCCAAGTACCTAAACTAAAAGTACGTACCATAAAGTACACACTACAAAGTATACCGGCCAAGTACCTAAACTAAAAGTACGTACCATAAAGTACACACTATGAAGTATACCTGTCAAGTACCTAACCTAAAAGTACGTACTATAAAGTACACCCTATACTTCATAGGGGGTACACACCAAGGCATACACTATGCTCTGTAAGTTTGATCAGTAGTGATCTGCTCAGTGTTGCCAGGTGTGAGTGACAGTCTGTCTGCAGGTGTCCCCTGATCACTTTCTGACCTCTGATTGGTTGACAGGTGTCTGAGGCATTCAGTCACAGCGAGCTCAGACGTCTCTTCAAGTCCTGTCAGGTTTTATACTTCAGGTCAGATACCGGATCAATCGCTCACTGATCAGTGATGATTAACTAATCAGCAGCAGATTGTCTGATTCAAACTCATTGATCACAAGCTGATAAAACACGTTGATCTGAACAGATTCTCTCAGTAACAAACGTTCTGATTAATCGATTGATTATCGGACTTTTGAATTTTATTGATCTGTGTGTCCTCAGTCGGGGCAGTGTGGCGGTGACCTTTGACCTCTGGTTCAATCAGATGATTGATGTGAAGGAGGCGGAGCAGCAGCTGGCGGCGGGGCTTCAGGAAGTCGGGTCTACGGGATTGGTGATCGACAGAAGCCGCATCCAGATTACAGGTGACGCTGCGAGGTCACAGGGGACGCTGTGAGATCACAGATGACGCTGTGAGGTCACAGGGGACGCTGTGGCAGTGCTTCCCAATTTGTTTGAATGCAACATTATTTGGAGTTTGGAGATGCAGCAACGGAGCAGTCTCTGCTGTTCTAATGTGAACCATCGAGTCCAGAAACTGGTTTCTGTTAAGCTAATGGGAACCATCGAGTCCAGAAACCAGTTTCTGTTAAGCTAATGGGAACCATCGAGTCCAGAAACCAGTTTCTGTTAAGCTAATGTGAACCATCGGGTCCAGAAACCGGTTTCTGTTAAGCTAATGGGAACCATCGAGTCCAGAAAACGCTTTCTGTTCAGTCTAATGTGAACCATCGAGTCCAGAAACCAGTGTCTGTTAAGCTAATGTGAACCATCGAGTCCAGAAAACACTTTCTGTTCAGTCTAATGTGAACCATCGAGTCCAGAAACCGGTTTCTGCTAGGCTAATGTGAACCATCGAGTCCAGAAACTGGTTTCTGTCCAGTCTAATGTGAACCATCGAGTCCAGAAACCGGTTTCTGCTAGGCTAATGGGAACCATCGAGTCCAGAAACCGGTTTCTATTAAGCTAATGTGAACCATCGAGTCCAGAAACCGGTTTCTGCTAGGCTAATGTGAACCATCGAGTCCAGAAACCGGTTTCTGTCCAGTCTAATGTGAACCATCGAGTCCAGAAACCGGTTTCTGCTAGGCTAATGGGAACCATCGAGTCCAGAAACCGGTTTCTATTAAGCTAATGTGAACCATCGAGTCCAGAAACCGGTTTCTATTAAGCTAATGTGAACCATCGAGTCCAGAAACCGGTTTCTGTTAAGCTAATGTGAACCATTGAGTCCAGAAACCGGTTTCTGTTCAGTCTAATGTGAACCATCGAGTCCAGAAACCGGTTTCTGTTAAGCTAATGGGAACCATCGAGTCCAGAAAACGCTTTCTGTTCAGTCTAATGTGAACCATCGAGTCCAGAAACCAGTGTCTGTTAAGCTAATGTGAACCATCGAGTCCAGAAAACACTTTCTGTTCAGTCTAATGTGAACCATCGAGTCCAGAAACCGGTTTCTGCTAGGCTAATGGGAACCATCGAGTCCAGAAACTGGTTTCTGTCCAGTCTAATGTGAACCATCGAGTCCAGAAACCAGTTTCTGTTAAGCTAATGTGAACCATTGAGTCCAGAAACCAGTTTCTATTAAGCTAATGTGAACCATCGAGTCCAGAAACCGGTTTCTGCTAGGCTAATGGGAACCATCGAGTCCAGAAACTGGTTTCTGTCCAGTCTAATGTGAACCATCGAGTCCAGAAACCAGTTTCTGTTAAGCTAATGTGAACCATTGAGTCCAGAAACCAGTTTCTATTAAGCTAATGTGAACCATCGAGTCCAGAAACCGGTTTCTGTTAAGCTAATGTGAACCATTGAGTCCAGAAAACACTTTCTGTTCAGTCTAATGTGAACCATCGAGTCCAGAAACCGGTTTCTGCTAGGCTAATGTGAACCATTGAGTTCAGAAACCGGTTTCTGTTCAGTCTAATGTGAACCATCGAGTCCAGAAACCAGTTTCTGTTAAGCTAATGTGAACCATCGAGTCCAGAAACCGGTTTCTATTAAGCTAATGTGAACCATTGAGTCCAGAAACCGGTTTCTGTTCAGTCTAATGTGAACCATCGAGTCCAGAAACCGGTTTCTGTTCAGTTTGATATGAACAATCGAGTCCAGAAACCAGTTTCTGTTAAGCTAATGTGAACCATCGAGTCCAGAAACCGGTTTCTATTAAGCTAATGTGAGCCATCGAGTTCAGACACCAGTTACTGTTCAGTCTAATGTGAGCCATCGAGTTCAGACACCAGTTACTGTTCAGTCTAATGTGAACCATCGAGTCCAGAAACTGGTTTCTGTTAAGCTAATGGGAACCATCGAGTCCAGAAACCGGTTTCTGTTAAGCTAATGTGAACCATCGGGTCCAGAAACCGGTTTCTGTTAAGCTAATGGGAACCATCGAGTCCAGAAAACGCTTTCTGTTCAGTCTAATGTGAACCATCGAGTCCAGAAACCAGTGTCTGTTAAGCTAATGTGAACCATCGAGTCCAGAAAACACTTTCTGTTCAGTCTAATGTGAACCATCGAGTCCAGAAACCGGTTTCTGTTAAGCTAATGTGAACCATCGAGTCCAGAAACTGGTTTCTGTTCAGTCTAATGTGAACCATCGAGTCCAGAAACCGGTTTCTGTTAAGCTAATGGGAACCATCGAGTCCAGAAACCGGTTTCTATTAAGCTAATGTGAACCATCGAGTCCAGAAACCGGTTTCTGTTAAGCTAATGTGAACCATTGAGTCCAGAAAACACTTTCTGTTCAGTCTAATGTGAACCATCGAGTCCAGAAACCGGTTTCTGCTAGGCTAATGGGAACCATCGAGTCCAGAAACCAGTTTCTATTAAGCTAATGTGAACCATCGAGTCCAGAAACCGGTTTCTATTAAGCTAATGTGAACCATCGAGTCCAGAAACCGGTTTCTGTTAAGCTAATGTGAACCATTGAGTCCAGAAACCGGTTTCTGTTCAGTCTAATGTGAACCATCGAGTCCAGAAACCGGTTTCTGTTAAGCTAATGGGAACCATCGAGTCCAGAAAACGCTTTCTGTTCAGTCTAATGTGAACCATCGAGTCCAGAAACCAGTGTCTGTTAAGCTAATGTGAACCATCGAGTCCAGAAAACACTTTCTGTTCAGTCTAATGTGAACCATCGAGTCCAGAAACCGGTTTCTGCTAGGCTAATGGGAACCATCGAGTCCAGAAACTGGTTTCTGTCCAGTCTAATGTGAACCATCGAGTCCAGAAACCAGTTTCTGTTAAGCTAATGTGAACCATTGAGTCCAGAAACCAGTTTCTATTAAGCTAATGTGAACCATCGAGTCCAGAAACCGGTTTCTGCTAGGCTAATGGGAACCATCGAGTCCAGAAACTGGTTTCTGTCCAGTCTAATGTGAACCATCGAGTCCAGAAACCAGTTTCTGTTAAGCTAATGTGAACCATTGAGTCCAGAAACCAGTTTCTATTAAGCTAATGTGAACCATCGAGTCCAGAAACCGGTTTCTGTTAAGCTAATGTGAACCATTGAGTCCAGAAAACACTTTCTGTTCAGTCTAATGTGAACCATCGAGTCCAGAAACCGGTTTCTGCTAGGCTAATGGGAACCATCGAGTCCAGAAACCAGTTTCTATTAAGCTAATGTGAACCATCGAGTCCAGAAACCGGTTTCTATTAAGCTAATGTGAACCATCGAGTCCAGAAACCGGTTTCTGTTAAGCTAATGTGAACCATTGAGTCCAGAAACCGGTTTCTGTTCAGTCTAATGTGAACCATCGAGTCCAGAAACCGGTTTCTGTTAAGCTAATGTGAACCATCGAGTCCAGAAACCGGTTTCTATTAAGCTAACGTGAACCATCGAGTCCAGAAACCGGTTTCTGTTAAGCTAATGTGAACCATTGAGTTCAGAAACCGGTTTCTGTTCAGTCTAATGTGAACCATCGAGTCCAGAAACCAGTTTCTGTTAAGCTAATGTGAACCATCGAGTCCAGAAACCGGTTTCTATTAAGCTAATGTGAACCATTGAGTCCAGAAACCGGTTTCTGTTCAGTCTAATGTGAACCATCGAGTCCAGAAACCGGTTTCTGTTCAGTTTGATATGAACAATCGAGTCCAGAAACCAGTTTCTGTTAAGCTAATGTGAACCATCGAGTCCAGAAACCGGTTTCTATTAAGCTAATGTGAGCCATCGAGTTCAGACACCAGTTACTGTTCAGTCTAATGTGAGCCATCGAGTTCAGACACCAGTTACTGTTCAGTCTAATGTGAACCATCGAGTCCAGAAACCGGTTTCTGTTAAGCTAATGTGAACCATCGAGTCCAGAAACCGGTTTCTGTTAAGCTAATGTGAGCCATCGAGTCCAGAAACCGGTTTCTGTTAAGCTAATGTGAGCCATCGAGTCCAGAAACCAGTTTCTGTTCAGTTTGATGTGAACCATCAAGTCCTGTTTTTCTGCAGAGAAAGAAGACAAGACGACGGCTTCACCGACGATCGTCACACCTACAGCAGGTGAGGAGGCTTCGTTGAAACGGCCGCTCTATGGAGGCTGACGGGGTGACATCAGATTAAAGTCATGCTGGTCTCTTTGTGTCCGCAGTAACGTGTCCTCCCCATCACGCTTCGTGTGCTGATGAATCGACGTGTGTTCTGATCGATCGGTTCTGTGACGGAGTGGACGACTGTCCTGACGGCTCTGATGAGGACGCTGCTCGCTGTGGTCGGTGATGTTTGAATATCTGCTTTAGCTGCAGGAACTATTGATTAATGAGGATCAGACAGTTTCAGACAGGACCGGTGTTACTAATAAACCTTCCTCTTACGACATCACTCTCGTCTCCACAGCGACAGCGTGTGACGGACAGTTTGTGCTGACCGGGCCGAGCGGGTCGTTCAGTTCATCAGGTGACTCGGAGACGTACGACAGCAGCAGCTTCTGCCGCTGGATCATCAGGTACAACCCGTCTCTGTGCTGATGAATCCCTCTCTGATCAATACTTTTTACGTGTATTTAAGCCAGCGTCACTGATCATGTGACTGTCTCATCAGTAATAACCAATAATCAGTGAAACAGGAAGTTGATTAAGGATTTCCACATTCTCAGGGTGGACAGAGGCCTTTCTGTTCAGATCAGCTTCCAGCAGTTTGAAACAGAAGAAAACATCGACATGCTGAGGCTCTATGAAGGAGTCGGGGAGGACAAACACCTGGCAGGTAACACACACACACACCTGGCAGGTAACACACACACACACACACACACACCTGGCAGGTACACACACACACACACACACACACACCTGGCAGGTAACACACACACACACACACACCTGGCAGGTAACACACACACACACACACCTGGCAGGTAACACACACACACACACAAACACACACACACACACACACACACACCTGGCAGGTAACACACACACACACACACAAACACACACACACACAAACACACACACACACACACACACCTGGCAGGTAAACACACACACACACACACCTGGCAGGTAAAACACACACACACACACACCTGGCAGGTAACACACACACACACACACACAAACACACACACACACACACACACACACACCTGGCAGGTAACACACACACACACACCTGGCAGGTAACACACACACACTCACAAACACACACACACACACACACACACACACACACACCTGGCAGGTAACACACACACACACACACAACACACACACACACACACACCTGGCAGGTAACACACACACACACACACCTGGCAGGTAAAACACACACACACACACCTGGCAGGTAACACACACACACACACACACACACACACACACCTGGCAGGTAACACACACACACCTGGCAGGTAACACACACACACACACACAAACACACACACACACACACACACCTGGCAGGTAACACACACACACACACACACACACACACACACACACACACACACACCTGGCAGGTAACACACACACACACACACACCTGGCAGGTAACACACACACACACACACACACACACACACACACCTGGCAGGTAACACACACACACACACACACACACACACCTGGCAGGTAACACACACACACACACACACACACACACACACCTGGCAGGTAACACACACACACACACACACACACCTGGCAGGTAACACACACACACACACACACACACACACACACCTGGCAGGTAACACACACACACACACACACACACACCTGGCAGGTAACACACACACACACACACACACACACACACCTGGCAGGTAACACACACACACACACACACACACACACACCTGGCAGGTAACACACACACACACACACACACACACACACACACACACCTGGCAGGTAACACACACACACACACACACACACACCTGGCAGGTAACACACACACACACACACACACACACACACACACACACACACACACACCTGGCAGGTAACACACACACACACACACACCTGGCAGGTAACACACACACACACACACACCTGGCAGGTAACACACACAGGCCTGAAGTGTTGAGAATGTGTGTGTGTGTGTTGTAACAATTTCAATATGATTGGCAGCTGAGCTCTCAGGCTCCGCCCCTCCCGGGACTGTGTGGCTGCTGACCGACCAATCAACGGTGGAGTTTACTTCTGATGAGGTCAACAACCTGTCAGGATTCAACGCCACCTACAGCGCCGCCAACACCTCCACCCTCTCAGGTAACTTCACCACACCTGTGAACAGGAAGTGCATCATGACCTTTTCAGGTGCCGGGAGAGCAGCACTAAGGGAGTTTGCAGGGATGAAGGAGGGTCTGGCTGCAGTACTGAACCCTCTGTCTCTGGGAAACGAGAGCCGGCCTGGGCGTGGACGGATTTGTAGGTGAGAAGCAGGATTTTGTAGCTGATGCGGGACTAGATTGAGAGCCGGTGAAAGTGGATGAGGGTTTCGGTGATGCCAGGTCTTGGTGGAGAACCCTGGTGACAGGTCTCCCTTACAGTAGTCCAGTTATTAAAGTCTGTCAGACTTCTGCCACGGAGTCAGAGCGTGATGGCCCGAGTCTAGAGAAGTTTGTGAGATGGAACAAGGCAGATTTGGTGATCTGACATGAGGCTGGAAAGAGAGGGTGGATGATGGAGCATCCGTCAACATCCAGGATGCTGAGCGGACGATTTGGTCCTGAGAATCAGCGGCATAGTAGGTGAAGCTGAGACCATGTTGGCGGGTAATCTGACCAAGGGTTGGCAACTAGATGATGAAGATGCTGGGTCCAAGCACAGACCCTCAAGGCACCTTGGCTGACCAGAGCTGGGTGGGAGCGGGATTTGCCAACGGTGACAAACTGCTTCCTGTGTGAGAAGTAAGCCTGAAACCAGGAGAGAGCTGTGCCGGGACACCAAGGTCCATAAGAAAGGTAGACGGTGTCGGAGGCTGCGCAGAGGTGAAGGAGGATTTGGATGGTGATTTGTCTGGAGTCAGCAGGGGTGAGTGGGCGGTCTCTGTGCTTTGGTGAAATCTGAATCCTGGCTGAAGGGGCTCTTAGAGATCATGGTTAGACTTATGATGGTGGACCTTTCCAGAATTTTACTGAGGAACCGAAGGTTGGAGATAGTAGGTTAGAGTAGTTGTTCCTCCAGATCCAACCCTGACCTCTTGAGGATAGGGGTGACTAAGGGCCACGGAGTTCGGTGGTGTACAGAGGAGCTCAACAGGTGAAGAAGAATCAAAGCTGTGAGACAGAGCAGGTGTGGTGGGCTGCCAGGGCGTTTGTTTGGAGGCCAGGTGGGTGGCTAATAGGTTGGTAGAGCAGGTGTACTGCTGATTTAATAGTACGTTTAGTACGTTGGGAGTTTGGAGGGGATAGAAGAGAAGACAGCGTGAGGATCAGAGACAGACAGGTCCAGGCACTGCAGGTGGAGCTCATGAGGTCCAATGATGGACCTTTGGTGTGTTCAGACCAGCAGAAGCTGAGCTGCTCCTTTGAGCAGGGCATGTGTTTCTGGAGGCAGCAGCAGGACGATGATGGAGATTGGATTCGAACCAGGGGCCCCACGTTTCCTCCGCTGACCGGCCCGAGTGTTGACCACACGCTCGCCGACGGCTCAGGTGGGTCCAACATGTGACCATGGAAACAGTTTTGTCAATACAGTCCGAACAATATTAGTATTCGTTGTTTGTAGTAATGTCAGTAGTATTAGTATTGTTATCAGTGGTATTGATCATCTGGTGTCAACCTGTCAGGTTTCTACATCGTCACTCCTCTGAGTCCCAGCCAATTTCTGAAGAGATTCAGGATCTACAGCCTCCCTCTGACTGCGCCCACACATCCCATGTGCCTGAGCTTCTGGTAAACAACCGCAAATAAACACGTAAACAACACCAAATAACACGTAAACAACACCAAATAACACATAAACAACACCAAATAGCACATAAACATCACCAAATAACACGTAAACAACACCAAATAACACGTAAACATAACCAAATAAACACGTAAACAACACCAAATAACACGTAAACAACACCAAATAACACATAAACAACACCAAATAGCACATAAACAACACCAAATAACACGTAAACAACACCAAATAACACGTAAACAACACCAAATAACACGTAAACATAACCAAATAAACACGTAAACAACACCAAATAAACACGTAAACAACACAAAATAACACATAAACAACACCAAATAAAACATAAACAACACCAAATAAAACATAAACATCACCAAATAAACACGTAAACAACACCAAATAGCACATAAACATCACCAAATAACACGTAAACAACACCAAATAAACACGTAAACAACACCAAATAGCACATAAACATCACCAAATAACACGTAAACAACACCAAATAAACACGTAAACAACATCAAATAGCACATAAACATCACCAAATAACACGTAAACAACACCAAATAAACACGTAAACAACACCAAATAGCACATAAACATCACCAAATAAACACGTAAACAACACCAAATAACACACAAACATCACCAAATAAACACGTAAACAACACCAAATAGCACATAAACATCACCAAATAACACGTAAACAACACCAAATAACACGTAAACCTCACCAAATAAACACGTAAACAACACCAAATAACACACAAACATCACCAAATAAACACGTAAACAACACTAAATAACACGTTAACAACACTAAATAACATGTAAACAACACCAAATAACACGTAAACAACACCAAATAACACATAAACATCACCAAATAACACGTAAACAACACCAAATAACACACAAACATCACCAAATAACACATAAACATCACCAAATAAACACGTAAACAACACCAAATAACACACAAACATCACCAAATAAACACGTAAACAACACCAAATAACACATAAACATCACCAAATAACACGTAAACAACACCAAATAACACGTAAACAACACCAAATAACACACAAACATCACCAAATAAACACGTAAACAACACTAAATAACACGTTAACAACACTAAATAACATGTAAACAACACCAAATAACACATAAACAACACCAAATAACACGTAAACAACACCAAATAACACATAAACAACACCAAATAACACATAAACATCACCAAATAAACACATAAACAACACCAAATAACACGTAAATAACACCAAATAGCACGTAAACACCAAATAAACACGTAAACAACACCAAATAACACGTAAACACCACCAAATAACACATAAATAACACATAAACACCACCAAATGAACACGTAAACAACACCAAATAAACACGTAAACACCACCAAATGAACACGTAAACAGCACCAAATGAACACGTAAACAACACCAAATGAACACGTAAACAACACCAAATAACACATAAACAACACCAAATAAATATGTAAACAACACCAAATGAACACATAAACAACACCAAATAACAAGTAGACAACACCAAATAAACATGTACACAACACAAAATAAACATGTAAACATCACCAAATAAACAATCTGTGTGATCAAGGACAACAGATGAAAATTAGCTTGTTGAGGTAACTCTGGCTCATTTACAGTTATTTTACTGTTAATTAATGAGCACTGTCTCTGTCAAATAAACAAATAAATGAAATGAAAATAATGAAAACAACAGCAAATAAACAACAGGAGAATAAAAACATTAACATTAACATCAGACCAATAACCAGACAGCTGCTTTACTAACACAAACATCACCGAGTGCTACAAGTTATACTAAAGGCTCATGCAGACTACACGACCTTCAGTGTCGGCCGATGGTCGTGCCGTTCACATAACTTGACGACAGAAGATAAACACGTAAACATGGAAAAAAAAACATGTAAACAAATGAGTTAGAGGTGATTGCATGTAAACACACACATACAAAACATAAACAAGTAAACAGGAAGTGGTCGTCCTGCAGGTACCACATGTTTGGAGAAGATGTCGACCATCTCAGAGTCCTGCTGCTGTCCGAAGCCGCCGCTACTGTGGCGTTCCAGAGAGACGGTAACTATGGCGACAACTGGAACTACGGCCAGGTGACCCTAGACATGACCACGAAGACCACGGTCAGTGACATCACACAGGAAGTCCAGCGACTGATCAATCATTGTGATCAGTAACTGACATATGTGACCTGTGCAGGTGGTGTTTGAAGCTCTGAAAAAAGGAGGGATGCTGAACGACATCGCTTTGGATGACATCACACTTACCTCTGATGCCTGTGGCCCCGCCCCCCCTGAACCAACCAATGTCCCGCCTCCACCAACCCCTCCCCCCATGCCAGGTGAGCCACGCCGCCTGCTGTTGAAGTGTATTATTGTAGATTATTAATCATTATCACTGATAATAAAAACTAAAAACTAAAACATGATCAGTTCTTCTCATTCTGTGGTAACTCTCTCTCACAAACTCGTTAAAATGTTTACGTTTTGATTTAATTATTAATATATTATTACACAAGACAGCCTGTAACAATGAAACAATACATGTCAGTATTCACACACCTGTGACTCCGCCCCCTCTGCTCTGATTGGTCCAGCTGACTGCGGAGGACCCTTTGACCTCTGGGAGCCAAACTCCACCTTCAGCTCGCCAAATTACCCGCAATCCTATGGCAACAAGGCTACGTGTGAGTACACCTGTCTGTTCAGGCTATACTAAGGCCTGTACTCAGGACAGTCCACGGTCCTCAGGTCCATTATCCTCAGGTCCATTGTCCTCAGGTCCGCAGTAGTTAGGACCACAGTTCTCAGGTCCATGGTTCTCACATCCATTATCCTCAGGTCCATGGTCCTCAGGTCCGCAGTAGTTAGGACCACGGTTCTCAGGTCCATGGTTCTCACATCCATTATCCTCAGGCCCAGGGTTCTCACATCCATTATCCTCAGGTCCATGGTCCTCAGGTCCGCAGTAGTTAGGACCACGGTTCTCAGGTCCATGGTTCTCACATCCATTATCCTCAGGTCCATGTTCCTCAGGTCAGCAGTAGTTAGGACCACGGTTCTCAGGCCCAGGGTTCTCACATCCATTATCCTCAGGTCCATGTTCCTCAGGTCCATGTTCCTCACGTCCATTATCCTGAGGTCCATGTTCCTCAGGTCCATGTCTCTCAGGTCCATGTTCCTTAGGTCCATGTTCCTCACATCCATTATTCTCAGGTCCATGGTCCTCAGGTCCGCAGTAGTTAGGACCACAGTTTTCAGGTCCATGGTTCTCACATCCATTATCCTCAGGTCCATGGTCCTCAGGTCCGCAGTAGTTAGGACCACGGTTCTCAGGTCCATGGTTCTCACATCCATTATCCTCAGGTCCATGTTCCTCAGGTCCATTATCCTGAGGTCCATGTTCCTCAGGTCCATGTCTCTCAGGTCCATGTTCCTTAGGTCCATGTTCCTCACATCCATTATCCTCAGGTCCATGGTCCTTAGGACCATAGTCCTTAGGTCCATGTCTCTCAGGTCCATGTTCCTCACATCCATTATCCTCAGGCCCATGGTCCTTAGGACCATAGTCCTTAGGTCCATGTCTCTCAGGTCCATGTTCCTTAGGACCATAGTCCTTAGGTCCATGTCTCTCAGGTCCATGTTCCTTAGGTCCATGGTTCTCACATCCATTATCCTCAGGTCCATGGTCCTTAGGACCATAGTCCTTAGGTCCATGTCTCTCAGGTCCATGTTCCTTAGGTCCATGTTCCTCAGGTCCATGTTCCTCACATCCATTATCCTCAGGTCCATGTTCCTCAGGTCCATGTTCCTTAGGTCCATGTCTCTCAGGTCCATGTTCCTTAGGTCCATGTTCCTCACATCCATTGTCCTCACATCCATTATCCTCAGGTCCATGTCTCTCAGGTCCATGTTCCTCAGGTCCGCAGTAGTTAGGACCACGGTTCTCAGGTCCATGTCTCTCAGGTCCATTATCCTCAGCTCCATGGTCCTTAGGGCCATGTTCCTCAGGTCCATGTTCCTCAGGTCAGCAGTAGTTAGGACCACGGTTCTCAGGTCCATGGTTTTCACATCCATTATCCTCAGGTCCATGGTTCTCACATCCATTATCCTCAGGTCCATGGTCCTCAGGTCCGCAGTAGTTAGGACCACGGTTCTCAGGTCCATGGTTCTCACATCCATTATCCTCAGGCCCAGGGTTCTCACATCCATTATCCTCAGGTCCATGTTCCTCAGGTCAGCAGTAGTTAGGACCACGGTTCTCAGGCCCAGGGTTCTCACATCCATTATCCTCAGGTCCATGTTCCTCACGTCCATTATCCTGAGGTCCATGTTCCTCAGGTCCATGTCTCTCAGGTCCATGTTCCTTAGGTCCATGTTCCTCACATCCATTATTCTCAGGTCCATGGTCCTCAGGTCCGCAGTAGTTAGGACCACAGTTTTCAGGTCCATGGTTCTCACATCCATTATCCTCAGGTCCATGGTCCTCAGGTCCGCAGTAGTTAGGACCACGGTTCTCAGGTCCATGGTTCTCACATCCATTATCCTCAGGTCCATGTTCCTCAGGTCCATGTTCCTCAGGTCCATTATCCTGAGGTCCATGTTCCTCAGGTCCATGTCTCTCAGGTCCATGTTCCTTAGGTCCATGTTCCTCACATCCATTATCCTCAGGTCCATGGTCCTTAGGACCATAGTCCTTAGGTCCATGTCTCTCAGGTCCATGTTCCTTAGGACCATAGTCCTTAGGTCCATGTCTCTCAGGTCCATGTTCCTTAGGTCCATGTTCCTCAGGTCCATGTTCCTCACATCCATTATCCTGAGGTCCATGTTCCTCAGGTCCATGTTCCTTAGGTCCTTGTCTCTCAGGTCCATGTTCTTAAGGTCCATGTTCCTCACATCCATTGTCCTCACATCCATTATCCTTAGGGCCATGTTCCTCAGGTCCATGTTCCTCAGGTCAGCAGTAGTTAGGACCACGGTTCTCAGGTCCATGTCTCTCAGGTCCATTATCCTCAGCTCCATGGTCCTTAGGGCCATGTTCCTCAGGTCCATGTTCCTCAGGTCAGCAGTAGTTAGGACCACGGTTCTCAGGTCCATGGTTTTCACATCCATTATCCTCAGGTCCATGGTTCTCACATCCATTATCCTCAGGTCCATGTTCTTCAGGTCCATGTCTCTCAGGTCCACTGTCCTCAGGTCCATGTCTCTCAGGTCCATGTTTCTCAGGTCCATGTTCCTTAGGTCCATGGTTCTCACATCCATTATCCTCAGGTCCATGTTCCTCAGGTCCATGGTCCTTAGGTCCATGTTCCTTAGGTCCATGTTCCTCAGGTCCATGTCTCTCAGGTCCACTGTCCTCAGGTCCATGTCTCTCAGGTCCATGTTCCTCAGGTCCATGGTCCTCAGGTCCATGGTCCTCAGTGTCAGTCCTTCTATGAAAAACTATGTGGTCCTTAAGATCCCGGACTTTACCTGAACATGTCCACTATGTTTACTTAATGTTTGTACCTCATTTTACCCATGATCCTCTTCTGCTGCAGGTCTGTGGACTCTTCATGCCAGCGAAGGTCAGAACATCCAGCTACACTTCCTGGACTTTGAAGTTGAATCGACCTATGATGTCGTGGAGGTGCGGGACGGGGCGGGGTCAAAGTCCACCTTACTAGGTGAGGACGTGTTTTACCCAGAATCCTTTTCAGTTGTGTCCTCAGCAGAATGCCTGCTTCAAGTGTGAATGTGTTTTGTTTCCAGCTGTCCTCACTGGCAGGGATGGCCCCGCCCACGACCTCTTCTCAACAACCAATCAGGTGACAGTGTGGTTCTTTACAGACGAATCGGGTCACGGCCGAGGATTCAGTGCCAACTTCACCTCCGGGGTCAACCTGGGGTCCCCAGGTGAGCTCAGGTTCAAAGGTCAGAGGGTGGAAGCAGTTTGTGTCAAAGTGAACAGCAGGATGATTGTATGGTGTTTGTTTGTGAACAGCTCCGTGTGCGGTCGGTCAGTTCCAGTGTCAGACAGGAAGATGTATTCGTGGTGACTATCAGTGTGACAGCGTGGTCGACTGTCCCAACGCCTCTGATGAAGCTGGCTGCGGTGAGTCGATCAGGTCATGATCAATACAAGGATCAATACTGATGTCACAGAGAGTAACACCACCTTCAAAGTGACTGACCTACACAGGTGTGTGTGTGTTCCAGTTGTGCTGCAGGTGAACGGTTCCAGTCGGCTTCAGTTTCAGCTCATCTCCTCTCTGTACACTGTGTGTGCTGACAACTGGAACTTTCACCTGTCTGACTTCACCTGTCAGTACCTGGGATACAGGTAACTCACACCTGTCTGTCCTCACCTGTCAGTACCTGGGATACAGGTATCTCTCACCTGTCTGTCCTCACCTGTTACTCTGTGGGATACAGGTAACTCTCACCTGTCTGTCTTCACCTGTTACTACTTGGGATACAGGTAACTCACACCTGTCTGTCCTCACCTGTCAGTACCTGGGATACAGGTAACTCTCACCTGTCTGTCTTCACCTGTTCCTACTTGGGATACAGGTAACTCTCACCTGTCTGTCTTCACCTGTTCCTACTTGGGATACAGGTAACTCTCACCTGTCTGTCCTCACCTGTCAGTGCCTGGGATACAGGTAACTCTCACCTGTCTGTCTTCACCTGTTACTACTTGGGATACAGGTAACTCACACCTGTCTGTCTTCACCTGTTACTACTTGGGATACAGGTAACTCACACCTGTCTGTCCTCACCTGTCAGTACCTGGGATACAGGTAACTCTCACCTGTCTGTCTTCACCTGTTCCTACTTGGGATACAGGTAACTCTCACCTGTCTGTCCTCACCTGTCAGTGCCTGGGATACAGGTAACTCTCACCTGTCTGTCTTCACCTGTTCCTACTTGGGATACAGGTAACTCTCACCTGTCTGACTTCACCTGTCAGTACCTGGGATACAGGTAACTCACACCTGTCTGTCTTCACCTGTCAGTACCTGGGATACAGGTAACTCACACCTGTCTGTCTTCACCTGTCAGTACCTGGGATACAGGTAACTCACACCTGTCTGTCTTCACCTGTTACTACTTGGGATACAGGTATCTCTCACCTGTCTGTCCTCACCTGTCAGTACCTGGGATACAGGTAACTCACACCTGTCTGTCTTCACCTGTCAGTACCTGGGATACAGGTAACTCACACCTGTCTGTCTTCACCTGTTACTACTTGGGATACAGGTAACTCTCACCTGTCTGTCTTCACCTGTTACTACTTGGGATACAGGTAACTCTCACCTGTCTGTCTTCACCTGTTACTACTTGGGATACAGGTAACTCACACCTGTCTGTCTTCACCTGTCAGTACCTGGGATACAGGTAACTCACACCTGTCTGTCCTCACCTGTTACTACTTGGGATACAGGTAACTCACACCTGTCTGTCCTCACCTGTTACTACTTGGGATACAGGTAACTCACACCTGTCTGTCTTCACCTGTTACTACTTGGGATACAGGTAACTCACACCTGTCTGTCTTCACCTGTTACTACTTGGGATACAGGTAACTCTCACCTGTCTGTCCTCACCTGTTACTACTTGGGATACAGGTAACTCACACCTGTCTGTCCTCACCTGTTACTACTTGGGATACAGGTAACTCACACCTGTCTGTCTTCACCTGTTACTACTTGGGATACAGGTAACTCACACCTGTCTGTCTTCACCTGTTACTACTTGGGATACAGGTAACTCTCACCTGTCTGTCCTCACCTGTTACTACTTGGGATACAGGTAACTCACACCTGTCTGTCTTCACCTGTTACTACTTGGGATACAGGTAACTCTCACCTGTCTGTCTTCACCTGTTACTACTTGGGATACAGGTAACTCACACCTGTCTGTCTTCACCTGTCAGTACCTGGGATGCAGGTAACTCACACCTGTCTGTCTTCACCTGTTACTACTTGGGATACAGGTAACTCTCACCTGTCTGTCTTCACCTGTTACTACTTGGGATACAGGTAACTCTCACCTGTCTGTCCTCACCTGTTACTACTTGGGATACAGGTAACTCACACCTGTCTGTCCTCACCTGTTACTACTTGGGATACAGGTAACTCACACCTGTCTGTCTTCACCTGTTACTACTTGGGATACAGGTAACTCACACCTGTCTGTCTTCACCTGTTACTACTTGGGATACAGGTAACTCTCACCTGTCTGTCCTCACCTGTTACTACTTGGGATACAGGTAACTCACACCTGTCTGTCTTCACCTGTTACTACTTGGGATACAGGTAACTCTCACCTGTCTGTCCTCACCTGTTACTACTTGGGATACAGGTAACTCACACCTGTCTGTCCACACCTGTTACTCTGTGGGATACAGGTAACTCTCACCTGTCTGTCTTCTTTCTCCCTCTGCAGGTCCGGGGAGGCCACACTGCTGCCGGCTCTGCCTCAGGATTCCCCGTTTACAACGGTCACAGTCACCAGCGATGGAAAACTGGATACCAGGATCAGGTACTGAAGACCAGAACTTGGACCAGTACCAGAACTGGAAATAAAACCAGACAGAAACAGAGCCTTGAAGCTAACAGTCAGGAGCAAGTGATCAGGACCAGAATTAAAACTAAAACCAGAACTAGAACCTGAGTTGTACTGAAGGAAAAAAATGGTTGTTTTTTACAGTGAAACATGCAGCAGTGAGAAAGTGATTTCACTGAAGTGTGACAACCAACGTGAGTACACTCATAAACACTGTCTGTTAAAACAACACCTGCACTCTATGTGGAGCTTAACTGAGCCTCTGCGTGTTTTAGCTTGTGGCGTTCGACAGATCACCAACAACACGAGGGAGACCAACCAATCAGCAGAGAGGATACCTGGTCAAGGTAAGACTGAATCTGTTTGACCTCTTCCTGTTGATCTTAATTTTTTTCAGTCTGACTGTAGTCTGTGTTTGTTGTCACCTGCCAGGTGTGGTTAGAGTGGTGGGCGGGGTTGACACGGTGAAGGGGGCGTGGCCATGGATTGTGTCTTTGCATTGGAGGGGGCGTCATGTCTGTGGAGCCTCATTGATTGGCAGAGATTGGCTGCTGACCGCTGCACACTGCGTCTACGGGTGACACTCAATTACTCATTACACAAATACTTTACTATACTATATACTATATACTATACATATATATTTGATATCTGACTCAGATATTTCCTTATTGACCTGCAGGTGAGAAATATTTGATGTTGATTATATTTAGTCAGGGGTTCAAGTTTTTCATTTTAGTGAATTATTAAACTTAAACCAGAGAGGTTTTAAGAGGAGACACCGAAAGAATCCTCAGTACATCTCTATAGGTAAAGACCGAGCCGGGAAACCTATTCAACCATTTGTCCGGCTCCACTTATGGTAGGGTCTACCACACATGCATCACTACTACCACACATGCGTCACTGCATGCGTCACTACTACCACGCATGCGTCACTATTACCACACATACATCACTACTGCCACACATGCGTCACTGCATGCGTCACTACTACCACGCATCCATCACTATTACCACACATGCATCACTACTACCACACATGCGTCACTGTATGCGTCACTACTACCACGCATGCGTCACTATTACCACACATACATCACTACTACCACACATGCGTCACTGCATGCCTCACTACTACCACGCATCCTTCACTATTACCACACATGCATCACTACTACCACACATGCGTCACTGCATGCGCCACTACTACCACGCATCCCTCACTATTACCACACATACATCACTACTACCACACATGCGTCACTGCATGCGTCACTACTACCACGCATCCCTCACTATTACCACACATACATCACTACTACCACACATGCGTCACTATTACCACACATACATCACTACTACCACACATGCATCACTGAATGCATCACTACTACCATGCATGCGTCACTACTACCACGCATCCATCACTATTACCACACATACATCACTACTACCACACATGCGTCACTGCATGCGTCACTACTACCACACATGCGTCACTATTACCACACATACATCACTACTACCACACATGCGTCACTGCATGCGTCACTACTACCATGCATGCGTCACTACTACCACGCATCCATCACTATTACCACACATACATCACTACTACCACACATGCGTCACTGCATGCGTCACTACTACCATGCATGCGTCACTACTACCACGCATCCATCACTATTACCACACATACGTCACTACTACCACACATGCGTCACTGCATGCGTCACTACTACCACGCATGCGTCACTATTACCACACATACATCACTACTACCACACATGCGTCACTGCATGCATCACTACTACCACGCATCCGTCACTATTACCACAAATGCATCACTACTACCACACATGCGTCACTGCATGTGTCACTACTACCACGCATCCATCACTATTACCACACATACATCACTACTACCACACATACATCACTACTACCACACATGCGTCACTGCATGCGTCACTACTACCACGGATGCGTCACTATTACCACACATACATCACTACTACCACACATGCGTCACTGCATGCGTCACTACTACCACGCATGCGTCACTACTACCACGCATGCATCACTATTACCACACATACATCACTACTACCACACATGCACTACTACCACACATGCGTCACTGCATACGTCACACTACCACGCATGTGTCTGTAAGCATGTGAAACAGTCTCTTTATAGTTATTTTGTTAAAGAGGGAAATAAATATATTCACTCAAGGGTGAACCAAACACACAACCATTCACTTGGAAGGCCTGTGCACTACTGACTGGGAACCCGAACTTAATGACGACCCCTGCAGCATTAATAACAGTAATAATAGAAATAATAACATGGTGGAGATACTGCGAGATATTCAGCTCCTCCTTAGAACTTAACATAAAACAAAACACAACTCTGAGACACACATCAGAAACACGTCTTCATCAGAGGACGAAGGCAGAAATGTCTCTGCTCAGCCTCTCATTAGCTGGACGGCGCCAGAGCTTTAATGTTACAGCTTACACTAATGTTCATATCATAAAAACAAGGACAGAAACTATCAGCCTGTCTGAGAATATCAGTTTCATTTCTACAGACATGAAGTTTAAAAGTTCTCTTGCTCTCGTATGAACTTGTTCCACAGGAAGAACGTCCACCTGATGTCGTGGTCGGCTGTTTTCGGTCTTCACTCTCAAAGTGACTTAAACTCTGTGGACGTTCAGACCCGACAAGTCGATCGCATCGTCATCAACAGGCAATACAACAAACAGACCAAACAGGCCGACATTGCCATGATGCACCTGCAGCAGCCAATCAGCTTCACCGGTCAGTGCCAACGTCATAAAGCATCATGGGCTTTATGTTTTATAACTAAACACCAGTTAACATCACAGAGTATCTGAGAGAACACGTTCCACAGTGACTCTGCCGAGTTAGAAACACACACTGAGATGATTTCAACAATTTATGAAAAATGGAATAAAACCTCCTCCTGGTGATGTTTAATGTAATCCAGCACGTCTTTGTTGGTTTAAAGTATTGAAATGTTTATATACACTCACCTAAAGGATTATTAGGAACACCTGTTCAATTTCTCATTAATGCAATTATCTAATCAACCAATCACATGGCAGGTGCTTCAATGCATTTAGGGGTGCGGTCCTGGTCAAGACAATCTCCTGAACTCCAAACTGAATGTCAGAATGGGAAAGAAAGGTGATTTAAGCAATTTTGAGTGTGGCATGGTTGTTGGTGCCAGACGGGCCGGTCTGAGTATTTCACAATCTGCTCAGTTACTGGGATTTTCATGCACAACCATTTCTAGGGTTTACAAAGAATGATGTGAAAAGGGGAAAAACATCCAGTATGCGGCAGTCCTGTGGGCGAAAATGCCTCGTTGATGCTAGAGGTCAGAGGAGAATGGGCCGACTGATTCAAGCTGATAGAAGAGCAACTTTGACTGAAATAACCACTCATTACAACCGAGGTATGCGGCAAAGCATTTGTGAAGCCACAACACGCACAACCTTGAGGCGGATGGGCTACAACAGCAGAAGACCCCACTGGGTACCACTCATCTCCACTACAAATAGGAAAAAGAGGCTACAATTTGCAAGAGCTCACCAAAATTGGACAGTTGAAGACTGGAAAAATGTTGCCTGGTCTGATGAGTCTCGATTTCTGTTGAGACATTCAGATGGTAGAGTCAGAATTTGGCGTAAACAGAATGAGAACATGGATCCATCATGCCTTGTTACCACTGTGCAGGCTGCTGGTGGTGGTGTAATGGTGTGGGGATGTTTTCTTGGCACACTTTAGGCCCCTTAGTGCCAATTGGGCATGGTTTAAATGCCACGGCCTACTTGAGCATTGTTTCTGACCATGTCCATCCCTTTATGGCCACCATGTACCCATCCTCTGATGGCTACTTCCAGCAGGATAATGCACCATGTCACAAAGCTCCAATCATTTCAAATTGGTTTCTTGAACATGACAATGAGTTCACTGTACTAAAATGGCCCCCACAGTCACCAGATCTCAACCCAATAGAGCATCTTTGGGATGTGGTGGAACGGGAGCTTCGTGCCCTGGATGTGCATCCCACAAATCTCCATCAACTGCAAGATGCTATCCATCAATATGGGCCAACATTTCTAAAGAATGCTTTCAGCACCTTGTTGAATCAACGCCACGTAGAATTAAGGCAGTTCTGAAGGCGAAAGGGGGTCAAACACAGTATTAGTATGGTGTTCCTAATAATCCTTTAGGTGAGTGTATATAAAATATTACAGGTGGACATAAAACAATTTTAATAAGAGACAAATTTTCCTTTTAGGAAAACCCTTTTCTTTATGTTTCTTCACTTTCTGAACATTTTGCACATAACTTAATTACATGAAGGAAAGTGATTCTCCACATCACACATTACATCATGTCAGAAGAGACTCAGACTTTGTCTCCGATGAACGGCGAGCCGTCGATAGCTGCAGGATTTCAACATTTAGCATAAAAGACATTTATTGGGTCCTCACAGCAGAACACGAGGAACCAGCACGGCAGAGATTTACAGTGGCCATTTGGAGACTTTGTGGAAACGGCTCCACAAGACATCTTAAAGAACATTTAAAAAGGAATTAATCCTGGCAGAGGAGGATATTTAACATCAGTTTCATCATTCATGCCCACTTACATTATTTTAAATAGTTCAGGACATTTTCACACAGCATGTTGTGAGATTGTTGGCCGATATTGGATATGAACTGGTGTTTAGTTATACAACCTGATGCATGTTTGAGTTTACCAGCTGTTACATCGTGTTCTGATAAGTCATCACAGCAATGACCTTCATAGAAAGTGTTCTACAGTCAAACATAATTCAAATAAAAGTGTTCAGGAATAAAAATGATTGAATTAAATTTTATGCAAATTAAGAGCATTTGAAACTCCTTTAAATGATTTTCAATCAGCTGAGCGAGGACAATGAAAGAAAGACTTTCCAGAGTTCTAATAACTTCATCAACAATAGCTCTGAGCTGTCACTAAGAAGCAGCTTGTGCACAGAAGATGAACAAACACGATGTCGGGTTGTTTGAGAGTTTAAAGAGCTTCAGCGGATAAACTGTCTGATGTTCCCAGAGCTGGTGCAGCCGGTGTGTTTACCTCCTGAAGGTCAGGACGTCGCAGCAGGAACAAGATGTTTCATCGCAGGATGGGGACGAGACGCTGAGCAGGGTGAGAACCTTCAGGACGCAGACTAACAGTTGGACGTCTTTATTTTTCATGATTTTATTATATTACTCAGAAACACCTTCAGCTGAGCCAAGAGAGTTTTAGCCTCTACTCGTTTACAGACTGAATCTGCTGTTTGCTGCTCCTCCTGGTTTTCTCCACCTGGTGTTCTCCTCCTCCTGGTGTTCTCCACCTGGTGTTCCCCACCTGGTTTTCTCCACCTGGTTTTCTCCACCTGGTGTTCTCCACCTGGTGTTCTCCTCCTCCTGGTTTTCTCCACCTGGTGTTCTCCACCTGGTGTTCTCCTCCTCCTGGTGTTCTCCACCTGGTGTTCCCCACCTGGTTTTCTCCACCTGGTTTTCTCCACCTGGTTTTCTCCACCTGGTGTTCCCCACCTGGTGTTCTCCACCTGGTGTTCTCCACCTGGTTTTCTCCTCCTCCTGGTGTTCTCCACCTGGTGTTCCCCACCTGGTTTTCTCCACCTGGTTTTCTCCTCCTCCTGGTGTTCTCCACCTGGTGTTCTCCACCTGGTGTTCCCCACCTGGTTTTCTCCACCTGGTTTTCTCCACCCGGTTTTCTCCACCTGGTTTTCTCCTCCTCCTGGTGTTCTCCACCTGGTGTTCTCCACCTGGTGTTCTCCACCTGGTTTTCTCCACCTGGTTTTCTCCACCTGGTGTTCCCCACCTGGTTTTCTCCACCTGGTTTTCTCCACCCGGTTTTCTCCACCTGGTTTTCTCCACCTGGTGTTCTCCACCTGGTGTTCTCCACCTGGTGTTCCCCACCTGGTTTTCTCCACCTGGTTTTCTCCTCCTCCTGGTGTTCCCCACCTGGTTTTCTCCACCTGGTTTTCTCCTCCTCCTGGTGTTCTCCACCTGGTTTTCTCCACCTGGTGTTCTCCACCTGGTTTTCTCCACCTGGTGTTCTCCACCTGGTGTTCCCCACCTGGTTTTCTCCTCCTTCTGGTGTTCTCCACCTGGTGTTCCCCACCTGATTTTCTCCACCTGGTTTTCTCCACCTGGTTTTCTCCACCTGGTGTTCCCCACCTGGTTTTCTCCTCCTTCTGGTGTTCTCCACCTGGTGTTCCCCACCTGATTTTCTCCACCTGGTTTTCTCCACCTGGTTTTCTCCACCCGGTTTTCTCCACCTGGTGTTCTCCACCTGGTGTTCCCCACCTGGTGTTCCCCACCTGGTGTTCCCCACCTGGTGTTCCCCACCTGGTGTTCTCCACCGGGTGTTCCCCAGCTGGTGTTCTCCACCTGGTGTTCCCCACCTGGTGTTCCCCACCTGGTGTTCTCCACCTGGTTTTCTCCTCCTGGTGTTCTCCACCTGGTTTTCTCCACCTGGTTTTCTCCACCTGATTTTCTCCACCTGGTTTTCTCCACCCGGTTTTCTCCACCTGGTGTTCTCCACCTGGTGTTCTCCACCTGGTATTCTCCACCAGGTGTTCCCCAGCTGGTGTTCTCCACCAGGTTTTCTCCACCTGGTTTTCTCCACCCGGTGTTCTCCACCTGGTGTTCCCCACCTGGTGTTCTCCTCCTGGTGTTCTCCACCTGGTTTTCTCATCCTGGTTTTCTCCACCTGGTGTTCTCCACCCGGTTTTCTCCACCTGGTGTTCCCCACCTGGTTTTCTCCTCCTTCTGGTGTTCTCCACCTGGTGTTCCCCACCTGATTTTCTCCACCTGGTTTTCTCCACCTGGTTTTCTCCACCCGGTTTTCTCCACCTGGTGTTCTCCACCTGGTGTTCCCCACCTGGTGTTCCCCACCTGGTGTTCCCCACCTGGTGTTCTCCACCGGGTGTTCCCCAGCTGGTGTTCTCCACCTGGTGTTCCCCACCTGGTGTTCCCCACCTGGTGTTCTCCACCTGGTTTTCTCCTCCTGGTGTTCTCCACCTGGTTTTCTCCTCCTCCTGGTGTTCTCCACCCGGTTTTCTCCACCTGGTGTTCTCCACCTGGTTTTCTCCACCTGGTGTTCTCCACCTGGTGTTCCCCACCTGGTTTTCTCCACCTGGTTTTCTCCACCCGGTTTTCTCCACCTGGTGTTCTCCACCTGGTGTTCTCCACCTGGTGTTCTCCACCAGGTGTTCCCCAGCTGGTGTTCTCCACCAGGTTTTCTCCACCTGGTTTTCTCCACCCGGTGTTCTCCATCTGGTGTTCCCCACCTGGTGTTCTCCTCCTGGTGTTCTCCACCTGGTTTTCTCATCCTGGTTTTCTCCACCTGGTGTTCTCCACCCGGTTTTCTCCACCTGGTGTTCCCCACCTGGTTTTCTCCTCCTTCTGGTGTTCTCCACCTGGTGTTCCCCACCTGATTTTCTCCACCTGGTTTTCTCCACCTGGTTTTCTCCACCCGGTTTTCTCCACCTGGTGTTCTCCACCTGGTGTTCCCCACCTGGTGTTCCCCACCTGGTGTTCCCCACCTGGTGTTCTCCACCGGGTGTTCCCCAGCTGGTGTTCTCCACCTGGTGTTCCCCACCTGGTGTTCCCCACCTGGTGTTCTCCACCTGGTTTTCTCCTCCTGGTGTTCTCCACCTGGTTTTCTCCACCTGATTTTCTCCACCTGGTTTTCTCCACCCGGTTTTCTCCACCTGGTTTTCTCATCCTGGTTTTCTCCACCTGGTTTTCTCCGCCCGGTTTTCTCCACCTGGTTTTCTCCACCTGGTGTTCTCCACCTGGTGTTCTCCTCCTCCTGGTTTTCTCCACCTGGTGTTCTCCACCTGGTGTTCTCCTCCTCCTGGTGTTCTCCACCTGGTGTTCCCCACCTGGTTTTCTCCTCCTTCTGGTGTTCTCCACCTGGTTTTCTCCACCTGGTTTTCTCCTCCTCCTGGTGTTCCCCACCTGGTTTTCTCCACCTGGTTTTCTCCTCCTCCTGGTGTTCTCCACCTGGTTTTCTCCACCTGGTTTTCTCCACCCGGTTTTCTCCACCTGGTGTTCTCCACCTGGTTTTCTCCTCCTCCTGGTGTTCTCCACCTGGTGTTCCCCACCTGGTTTTCTCTACCTGGTGTTCTCCACCTGGTTTTCTCCACCTGGTGTTCCCCACCTGGTTTTCTCCTCCTTCTGGTGTTCTCCACCTGGTTTTCTCCACCTGGTTTTCTCCTCCTCCTGGTGTTCCCCACCTGGTTTTCTCCACCTGGTTTTCTCCTCCTCCTGGTGTTCTCCACCTGGTTTTCTCCACCTGGTTTTCTCCACCCGGTTTTCTCCACCTGGTGTTCTCCACCTGGTTTTCTCCTCCTCCTGGTGTTCTCCACCTGGTGTTCTCCACCTGGTGTTCTCCTCCTCCTGGTTTTCTCCACCTGGTGTTCTCCACCTGGTGTTCTCCTCCTCCTGGTGTTCTCCACCTGGTGTTCCCCACCTGGTTTTCTCCTCCTTCTGGTGTTCTCCACCTGGTTTTCTCCACCTGGTTTTCTCCTCCTCCTGGTGTTCCCCACCTGGTTTTCTCCACCTGGTTTTCTCCTCCTCCTGGTGTTCTCCACCTGGTTTTCTCCACCTGGTTTTCTCCACCCGGTTTTCTCCACCTGGTGTTCTCCACCTGGTTTTCTCCTCCTCCTGGTGTTCTCCACCTGGTGTTCCCCACCTGGTTTTCTCCACCTGGTGTTCTCCACCTGGTGTTCTCCACCTGGTGTTCCCCACCTGGTTTTCTCCTCCTTCTGGTGTTCTCCACCTGGTTTTCTCCTCCTCCTGGTGTTCCCCACCTGGTTTTCTCCACCTGGTTTTCTCCTCCTCCTGGTTTTCTCCACCTGGTTTTCTCCACCTGGTTTTCTCCACCCGGTTTTCTCCACCTGGTGTTCTCCACCTGGTTTTCTCCTCCTCCTGGTGTTCTCCACCTGGTGTTCCCCACCTGGTTTTCTCCACCTGGTGTTCTCCACCTGGTTTTCTCCACCTGGTGTTCTCCACCTGGTGTTCCCCACCTGGTTTTCTCCTCCTTCTGGTGTTCTCCACTTGGTGTTCCCCACCTGGTTTTCTCCTCCTTCTGGTGTTCTCCACTTGGTGTTCCCCACCTGATTTTCTCCACCTGGTGTTCTCCACCTGGTGTTCCCCACCTGGTGTTCCCCACCTGGTGTTCCCCACCTGGTGTTCTCCACCGGGTGTTCCCCAGCTGGTGTTCTCCACCTGGTGTTCCCCACCTGGTGTTCCCCACCTGGTGTTCTCCACCTGGTTTTCTCCTCCTGGTGTTCTCCACCTGGTTTTCTCCACCTGGTTTTCTCCACCTGATTTTCTCCACCTGGTTTTCTCCACCCGGTTTTCTCCACCTGGTGTTCTCCACCTGGTTTTCTCCACCTGGTGTTCTCCACCAGGTGTTCCCCAGCTGGTGTTCTCCACCTGGTGTTCCCCACCTGGTGTTCCCCACCTGGTGTTCTCCTCCTGGTGTTCTCTACCTGGTGTTCTCCTCCTGGTGTTCTCCACCTGGTTTTCTCATCCTGGTTTTCTCCACCTGGTTTTCTCCACCCGGTTTTCTCCACCTGGTTTTCTCCACCTGGTGTTCTCCACCTGGTGTTCTCCACCTGGTGTTCTCCACCTGGTTTTCTCCTCCTCCTGGTGTTCTCCACCTGGTGTTCCCCACCTGGTTTTCCCCACCTGGTTTTCTCCTCCTTCTGGTGTTCTCCACCTGGTTTTCTCCACCTGGTTTTCTCCTCCTCCTGGTGTTCCCCACCTGGTTTTCTCCACCTGGTTTTCTCCTCCTCCTGGTGTTCTCCACCTGGTGTTCCCCACCTGGTGTTCTCCTCCTGGTGTTCTCCACCTGGTTTTCTCCACCTGGTTTTCCCCACCTGGTTTTCTCCTCCTTCTGGTGTTCTCCACCTGGTTTTCTCCACCTGGTTTTCTCCTCCTCCTGGTGTTCCCCACCTGGTTTTCTCCACCTGGTTTTCTCCTCCTCCTGGTGTTCTCCACCTGGTTTTCTCCACCTGGTTTTCTCCACCTGGTGTTCTCCACCTGGTTTTCTCCTCCTTCTGGTGTTCTCCACTTGGTGTTCCCCACCTGATTTTCTCCACCTGGTTTTCTCCACCCGGTTTTCTCCACCTGGTTTTCTCCTCCTCCTGGTGTTCTCCACCTGGTGTTCTCCACCTGGTTTTCTCCTCCTCCTGGTGTTCTCCACCTGGTGTTCCCCACCTGGTGTTCTCCACCTGGTGTTCTCCACCTGGTGTTCCCCACCTGGTTTTCTCCACCCGGTTTTCTCCACCTGGTGTTCTCCACCTGGTTTTCTCCACCCGGTTTTCTCCACCTGGTGTTCTCCACCTGGTTTTCTCCTCCTTCTGGTGTTCTCCACCTGGTTTTCTCCTCCTGGGTTTTCTCCTCCTGGTTTTCTCCGCCTGGTGTTCTCCACCTGGTTTTCTCCTCCTGGGTTTTCTCCTCCTGGTTTTCTCCTCCTGGGTTTTCTCCTCCTGGTTTTCTCCGCCTGGTGTTCTCCACCTGGTTTTCTCATCCAGTTCTCCTCCTCCTGGTGTTCTCCACCTGGTTGTCTCCACCTGGTGTTCTCCACCTGGTCTTCTCCACCTGGTGTTCTCCTCCTGGTTTTCTCCTCCTGGTCTTCTCCACCTGGTGTTCTCCTCCTGGTTTTCTCCTCCTGGTCTTCTCCACCTGGTCTTCTCCTCCTGGTTTTCTCCTCCAGTTTTCCTCCTCCTGGTTTTGTCCTCCAGTTCTCCTCCTCCAGTTCTCCACCTCCTGGATTTGTCCTCCTGGTTTTGTCCTCCAGTTCTCCTCCTCCTGGTTTCGTCCTCCTGGTTTTGTCCTACAGTTCTCCTCCTCCTGGTGACCTCCTCCTGGTTTTGTCCTCCAGTTCTCCACCTCCTGGATTTGTCCTCCTGGTTTTGTCCTCCAGTTCTCCTCCTCCTGGTTTCGTCCTCCTGGTTTTGTCCTACAGTTCTCCTCCTCCTGGTGACCTCCTCCTGGTGTGTCTCCCTCAGGTTCTCCCACAAATGTTCTCCAGGAGGCTGAGGTTCCGGTGCTGGTTCAGGATCAGTGTCAGCTTCAGTTACCTGAGTACACCATCACCTCCAGCATGCTGTGTGCCGGATACCCAGAGGGGGGGGTCGACTCCTGTCAGGTAACTGCTCACCTGGAGTCGGCGGTCGGCCCAGCCTCAGACTCTGATCTGGTTCTGGTCCTGGACACACACTGTTGGTCTGTCATGTGTTAATAAAGTCCGTGTTGTTTCCAGGGCGACTCTGGAGGCCCACTGATGTGTCTGGACGATAGACACTGGACTGTGATTGGTCAGTCTCACACACACACACACACACACACACACAGAGGGGGGCACCTGGTGCAGGTGAGATCTGATGTGTTCTGGTTCCTGTGCAGGTGTGACATCGTTTGGGAAAGGCTGCGGGCGTCCTCAGAGACCTGGAGTCTACGCCCGGGTTTCTGCCTTCACCTCCTGGATCGCTCAGACCAGACGCTCCTCCTCCTCCTCCTCCTCCAACTTTAATCCGTAGAGTGATGAGATGACCCCCCCCCCCCCCCCCCCCGTATTAACCAGACCCACCTGAGCTTTTCTTAAGTCAGCTTTGTCCACAACAGCAATTTCAAACTCTGTTTCCCAACGTAATGAACATAAGTCACATGACACAACACAAAGGAGGTCAACCAGTCGACATCCATGAAGCCGCTGACCTCCCTCCCCTGTGAAGGTTAGGCTAAGGGGCTTTAACTCGCTAGCTACACACTTTAGCTAGCTAACGCTAATGCTAATACGTAACTTATGTAGGATGCACAACTTACGTAACATAATTAAAAACCTTAATCGATCTTGTTTCACACGGGAACCGAATGCCGGCCTCCTGAGTGAAAGTCCAGTTTTGACCCGTCCAACCTCCTTATACAGACACGTCACCTGACATCCTCTGCAGCTGCTGTTGTACGCCACTAGAGGGCGGAGCCACAGGAAACGTAATTATGGGTTGTAGCAACGCGGTTGTACAAATATCTGAGTGTTTCTCTGGTGAGGACGAGAGACACTGAGAGACACTGAGAGAGAGAGCAACCTGTTGCTCAACGCCCGCAGAACCAAGGAGGCGACAACACTCCTGTCTGCATCAGTGGAGCTGAGGAGGAGCAGGAGGAGGAGCAGGAGGAGGAGCTGAGGAGGAGCTGAGGAGGAGCTGAGGAGGAGCTGAGGAGGAGCTGAGGAGGAGCTGAGGAGGAACAGGTGAACCAGAGGTGAATCAGCTCCAGAGAACCCCACATGGACGTCTCACATCTCCATGCTGCTGATCTCAGATCAGCTGATCTGACACACTGACAGGAGTCGGGTGGATGTTTTTGGTTTTGTCCTGATAATAAATCACATGTTCAATGATTTACAGAACGGTTTATCAAAATAAAGTTTTTTCCTGGATTTAATAAAAAATGTACGACTCGTGTGTTTTCGTCATATTGCAGATAAATGCCTCCTGATGGGATAGAAGATATTTTAATACATTCTGTAACGTGTGAGGTCCTAAAGGACAGAACCCGCCCAGCCTGTCCGCCCTGCTGCATTCTGGGAAGAGATGGCACCTCCAGAGCAGAGCCCTGTAGAGAGGGAGTTCAGTCCAAAATCCCCGAAGTCCTGGACAGGCAAAACGGTGATTTTAAGTGATTTCTGGTCATTTCTACAATAAATGCGTTGATGCACGGCGTTCGTACGGCACACTGAGGCGTGAGACATTTGTTTGACAGCTCCAGTGTCCCACCTTGTTGGCATGTTTTTGGCTAACCTCACATTGGAAAGTGTTCCTCTTGAAAACACAATGTTTTAAAACAGTCCTTCGGTAATCCGGGTTAATTGATCTGAACGACTAATGTGATCTTCGGGTGACGAGCATTTACTCATTTAGCTGACGCCTTCATCCAAACTGCAGCTGCTGTGCACGTCAGAGGTCGCACGCCTCTGGAGCAGCGAGCGGTAAGTGTCTCGCGCAGGGACACAGTGGAGATTGAACCCACCAAAGGCATGCGTCTTGTCCACTGCACCATCGCCCCCCGTATTCATCAGTGAATAAACTCAGCGTGTTTAGTGGTTTGTGATCTGCGTCAGTCTACAGCAGACGCTGAGAAAGGAGGATGAACGTTTCCCAGCTGAGGAGGAAGAAATGGCCGACTCAGGTCAACAGGAGCCAAAAATACGTGAGGTACTTTTTCCACAATGAAAGACCACATCGCCGGCTTAATGTCTGGTTTATTGAAAACATCCCTGCAGATCATCTTCAGGCTCCTCTGACCCCCCTGTGATTCTGAGAGAGGGTCAGACAGGTCAGGGTGAAGATGCTGGTTGGCTGACGGGCGTCCAGAGTCTAAATAACATCTAACTTACAAACCACAGCGACTGGGGGGGCGTCTTACCCCAAACATACTAATCTAGCATTTTACTACTTTAACCAAAAACTATAAAAATCTTACTTATCTTCAGGCTCCCCGTGATGTAAATATTCATTTAGATATAAACTGAACACAATGAAAAAATTACAGCTTATTTTAAATGACCCCAAAAAAATGGCTTTGATCAAATAACTTCAAACATTGAGAGGAAGTTTTAGTTCAGTGGGGGGGTGACCCCATGTTAGCCTGCGCGATTTATTGATTTTTATTGTTTCTTTATCTATATGAGTGACGTCAGATCCGATTGGATCCAGCAGGGGGCGGAAGTGATCCGGAACGGACTCAAACCACCAGAAGAAGAAGAGGAGCTAGCGTTTCTGTTTCAGTCTGGTTCTACTAACAGCTGATGGACCGGGTCTGAGAGAGACCCGGACCCAGAGCGGAGCCGGGTCAGCGCTAGGAACAAGGAGGGAAAAAAAGAAGCAGAAGGAGAAGAAGAGGGTCATCATCGTCCCGGAAGTGACAGCGAGAGCCCTCGGGAGGCTAACCGGCGTTAGCAGGTGTTAGCAGGTACAAACATAAACAGCTGTTTACTTATAATTTATTATAAGTAATGATGTTTTTATTGTTTATTATTATCAGACGGGTGACGTCATGCTAACAGCCCGGAGCTGCCTGTTAGCTGTTAGCTGATTATTGAGCAGCGCTTCACAGCCCGTTCAGAAGTCCCCTTGAAAAACTGCTGATTTAAGAGGCCGCAGCTGGAAGCTTCTAGATCTGCCACAGAGAAGCAAACAGCCGCGGGCTGAGCTCACTGAGCTAAACCGCTGCGGTTATATGATAACAAGAGATGAAGAAGAAGTAAAAGTGGTTATTAAGATAAAGAAATTTAGAGATTTAGTGACAGGAGCTCAGTTAGTTTAACTTCCCTTTAACGCTGCACAGCCGCAGTGAAGTCTGGTTTCCTCTGTGGGACATGCTGTTGCTACTCTGATAGATGCTAACATGCTAACAACAACATAAAGGCCCGTGAGGGGCCCCAGAGAGTGGCCCTCAAGAGCAGTACCAGCTCCTGACTTTAACTTCACTTTGTGTCGCAGAGCTTCAGTATGAGCAGCAGAGGAGCCTCTGGAGAACCCAGAGAGCAGGAGGAGAAGGAGGAGGAGCACTTCTACGACTGCCAGGAGAGTCTGGAACCTCCGGCCCCAAGAGACGAGGAGTTCCGGCAGGATGAAAGAGGGCCGGAGGACTTTCACACTAAAACTGACAGACTGACTCATAGAGGAGACGTCACAGAGACTGAGGGAGGAGGAGGACAGGAGGAGGCGCAGGGCGACGAGACGCAGGAGGAGGCGCAGGGCGACGGGCTGCAGGAGGAGGCGCAGGGCGACGGGCTGCAGGAGGAGGACTCAGATTCAGAGATGAAGGAGGAGAGGAGCCAGGAGGTGGAGTTTGACGATGACTACCTGAGGGAGGTGGAGAAGGAGCTGACAGAGGAGGAGAAGGAGGTAAGTCCGTCACATGGTGGATTAGAAACTATTCTTAATGAGAGAGCAGCTGCTCAGATCAGTAACCCATCAGCTGGGATCAGAGAGGTCTGAGCCGGTCTCCTGAGCACTCCCGGACCGGGTCTGTAGGACCCTTTTTAATCCTCTCTGACCAACGGGGACCAGAGATGATCTAAAGTTCAGACGAGGCTCCTGAGAACGTGGGACACAGAGAAACTTTAACAAGAACAACCTGAATGTCGTTCTGTCATCTGACTCTTTGCGAACTGAGCAGAGGAGGCGTTCAGGTGTCCGGAGTGATGCTGTAAATCCCAGTTCTGCTGGTCACCGACGTTAAACTGCAGCTTCCTTCTTTTTCAGAGTCGACGGCAACAAAGTTTGTCTCTGAAGGAGAACGGCAACGGCCTCTTTAAAGCTGGAGGTGAGTCCTCATGTCCATGTAGACCTTCACAGACCAGTATAAAGCAGGACGGGTCAGGACAGACCAGGAAAGACCAGCACAGACCAGTATAAAGCAGGACGGGTCAGGACAGACCAGCACAGACCAGTATAAAGCAGGACAGGTCAGCACAGACCAGCACAGACCAGTATAAAGCAGGACAGGTCAGCACAGACCAGCACAGACCAGTATAAAGCAGGACAGGTCAGCACAGACCAGCACAGACCAGTATAAAGCAGGACGGGTCAGGACAGACCAGCACAGACCAGCACAGACCAGTATAAAGCAGGACCGGTCAGGACAGACCAGGACAGACCAGCACAGACCAGTATAAAGCAGGACGGGTCAGGACAGACCAGGACAGACTAGCACAGACCAGTATAAAGCAGGACAGGCCAGGACAGACCAGCACAGACCAGTATAAAGCAGGACAGGTCAGCACAGACCAGCACAGACCAGTATAAAGCAGGACGGGTCAGCACAGACCAGCACAGACCAGTATAAAGCAGGACGGGTCAGCACAGACCAGCACAGACCAGTATAAAGCAGGACGGGTCAGGACAGACCAGGACAGACCAGCACAGACCAGTATAAAGCAGGACAGGTCAGCACAGACCAGCACAGACCAGCACAGACCAGTATAAAGCAGGACAGGTCAGCACAGACCAGCACAGACCAGTATAAAGCAGGACAGGTCAGCACAGACCAGCACAGACCAGTATAAAGCAGGACAGGTCAGGACAGACCAGCACAGACCAGCACAGACCAGTATAAAGCAGGACAGGTCAGCACAGACCAGCACAGACCAGTATAAAGCAGGACAGGTCAGCACAGACCAGGACAGACCAGCACAGACCAGTATAAAGCAGGACAGGTCAGGACAGACCAGGACAGACTAGCACAGACCAGTATAAAGCAGGACAGACCAGGACAGACTAGCACAGACCAGTATAAAGCAGGACAGGTCAGCACAGACCAGCACAGACCAGTATAAAGCAGGACCGGTCAGCACAGACCAGCACAGACCAGTATAAAGCAGGACAGGTCAGCACAGACCAGCACAGACCAGTATAAAGCAGGACAGGTCAGCACAGACCAGCACAGACCAGTATAAAGCAGGACCTGCAGGACAGACCAGCATAGACCAGCATAGACCAGTATAAAGCAGGACAGGTCAGCACAGACCAGCATAGACCAGTATAAAGCAGGACGGGTCAGCACAGACCAGCACAGACCAGTATAAAGCAGGACAGGTCAGCACAGACCAGCATAGACCAGTATAAAGCAGGACAGGTCAGCACAGACCAGCATAGACCAGTATAAAGCAGGACAGGTCAGCACAGACCAGCATAGACCAGTATAAAGCAGGACAGGTCAGCACAGACCAGCACAGACCAGTATAAAGCAGGACCTGCAGGACAGACCAGCATAGACCAGCATAGACCAGTATAAAGCAGGACAGGTCAGCACAGACCAGCACAGACCAGTATAAAGCAGGACGGGTCAGGACAGACCAGCACAGACCAGCACAGACCAGTATAAAGCAGGACGGGTCAGGACAGACCAGCATAGACCAGTATAAAGCAGGACAGGTCAGCACAGACCAGCACAGACCAGTATAAAGCAGGACGGGTCAGGACAGACCAGCACAGACCAGTATAAAGCAGGACGGGTCAGGACAGACCAGGACAGACCAGCACAGACCAGTATAAAGCAGGACAGGTCAGCACAGACCAGCACAGACCAGTATAAAGCAGGACAGGTCAGCACAGACCAGCACAGACCAGTATAAAGCAGGACAGGTCAGCACAGACCAGCACAGACCAGTATAAAGCAGGACGGGTCAGGACAGACCAGCACAGACCAGTATAAAGCAGGACAGGTCAGCACAGACCAGCACAGACCAGTATAAAGCAGGACAGGTCAGCACAGACCAGCACAGACCAGTATAAAGCAGGACAGGTCAGGACAGACCAGGACAGACCAGCACAGACCAGTATAAAGCAGGACAGGTCAGGACAGACCAGGACAGACCAGCACAGACCAGTATAAAGCAGGACAGACCAGGACAGACCAGCACAGACCAGTATAAAGCAGGACAGGTCAGCACAGACCAGCACAGACCAGTATAAAGCAGGACAGGTCAGCACAGACCAGCACAGACCAGTATAAAGCAGGACAGGTCAGCACAGACCAGCACAGACCAGTATAAAGCAGGACAGGTCAGCACAGACCAGTATAAAGCAGGACAGGTCAGCACAGACCAGCACAGACCAGTATAAAGCAGGACAGGTCAGCACAGACCAGCACAGACCAGTATAAAGCAGGACAGGTCAGCACAGACCAGCACAGACCAGCACAGACCAGTATAAAGCAGGACGGGTCAGGACAGACCAGCATAGACCAGCATAGACCAGTATAAAGCAGGACAGGTCAGCACAGACCAGCACAGACCAGTATAAAGCAGGACAGGTCAGCACAGACCAGTATAAAGCAGGACAGGTCAGCACAGACCAGCACAGACCAGTATAAAGCAGGACAGGTCAGCACAGACCAGCACAGACCAGTATAAAGCAGGACAGGTCAGCACAGACCAGCACAGACCAGTATAAAGCAGGACAGGTCAGCACAGACCAGCACAGACCAGTATAAAGCAGGACCTGCAGGACAGACCAGCATAGACCAGCATAGACCAGTATAAAGCAGGACAGGTCAGCACAGACCAGCACAGACCAGTATAAAGCAGGACAGGTCAGCACAGACCAGCACAGACCAGCATAGACCAGTATAAAGCAGGACAGGTCAGCACAGACCAGCACAGACCAGTATAAAGCAGGACCTGCAGGACAGACCAGCATAGACCAGCATAGACCAGTATAAAGCAGGACAGGTCAGCACAGACCAGCACAGACCAGTATAAAGCAGGACGGGTCAGGACAGACCAGCACAGACCAGCATAGACCAGTATAAAGCAGGACGGGTCAGGACAGACCAGCACAGACCAGTATAAAGCAGGACAGGTCAGCACAGACCAGCACAGACCAGTATAAAGCAGGACGGGTCAGGACAGACCAGCACAGACCAGTATAAAGCAGGACCGGTCAGGACAGACCAGCACAGACCAGTATAAAGCAGGACAGGTCAGCACAGACCAGCACAGACCAGTATAAAGCAGGACGGGTCAGGACAGACCAGCATAGACCAGCATAGACCAGTATAAAGCAGGACAGGTCAGCACAGACCAGCATAGACCAGTATAAAGCAGGACAGGTCAGCACAGACCAGCATAGACCAGTATAAAGCAGGACAGGTCAGCACAGACCAGCATAGACCAGTATAAAGCAGGACAGGTCAGCACAGACCAGCATAGACCAGTATAAAGCAGGACGGGTCAGGACAGACCAGCACAGACCAGCACAGACCAGTATAAAGCAGGACAGGTCAGCACAGACCAGCACAGACCAGTATAAAGCAGGACAGGTCAGCACAGACCAGCACAGACCAGTATAAAGCAGGACAGGTCAGCACAGACCAGGACAGACCAGTATAAAGCAGGATGGGTCAGTACAGACCAGCACTGACCAGTATAAAGCAGGACCGGTCAGCACAGACCAGCACAGACCAGTATAAAGCAGGACAGGTCAGCACAGACCAGCACAGACCAGTATAAAGCAGGACAGGTCAGCACAGACCAGCACAGACCAGTATAAAGCAGGACAGGTCAGCACAGACCAGCATAGACCAGCACAGACCAGTATAAAGCAGGACGGGTCAGGACAGACCAGCATAGACCAGCATAGACCAGTATAAAGCAGGACAGGTCAGCACAGACCAGCACAGACCAGTATAAAGCAGGACAGGTCAGCACAGACCAGCACAGACCAGTATAAAGCAGGACAGGTCAGCACAGACCAGCACAGACCAGTATAAAGCAGGACCTGCAGGACAGACCAGCATAGACCAGCATAGACCAGTATAAAGCAGGACAGGTCAGCACAGACCAGCACAGACCAGTATAAAGCAGGACGGGTCAGGACAGACCAGCACAGACCAGTATAAAGCAGGACGGGTCAGGACAGACCAGCACAGACCAGTATAAAGCAGGACAGGTCAGCACAGACCAGCACAGACCAGTATAAAGCAGGACGGGTCAGGACAGACCAGCACAGACCAGTATAAAGCAGGACGGGTCAGGACAGACCAGCACAGACCAGTATAAAGCAGGACAGGTCAGCACAGACCAGCACAGACCAGTATAAAGCAGGACGGGTCAGGACAGACCAGCACAGACCAGCATAGACCAGTATAAAGCAGGACAGGTCAGCACAGACCAGCACAGACCAGTATAAAGCAGGACAGGTCAGCACAGACCAGCACAGACCAGTATAAAGCAGGACGGGTCAGGACAGACCAGCACAGACCAGTATAAAGCAGGACAGGTCAGCACAGACCAGCACAGACCAGTATAAAGCAGGACAGGTCAGCACAGACCAGCACAGACCAGTATAAAGCAGGACGGGTCAGGACAGACCAGCACAGACCAGCACAGACCAGTATAAAGCAGGACGGGTCAGCACAGACCAGCACAGACCAGTATAAAGCAGGACAGGTCAGCACAGACCAGCACAGACCAGTATAAAGCAGGACAGGTCAGCACAGACCAGCACAGACCAGCACAGACCAGTATAAAGCAGGACAGGTCAGCACAGACCAGCACAGACCAGTATAAAGCAGGACAGGTCAGCACAGACCAGCACAGACCAGTATAAAGCAGGACAGGTCAGCACAGACCAGCACAGACCAGTATAAAGCAGGACAGGTCAGCACAGACCAGCACAGACCAGCACAGACCAGTATAAAGCAGGACAGGTCAGCACAGACCAGCACAGACCAGTATAAAGCAGGACAGGTCAGCACAGACCAGCACAGACCAGTATAAAGCAGGACAGGTCAGCACAGACCAGCACAGACCAGTATAAAGCAGGACGGGTCAGCACAGACCAGCACAGACCAGCACAGACCAGTATAAAGCAGGACCGGTCAGCACAGACCAGCACAGACCAGTATAAAGCAGGACGGGTCAGGACAGACCAGCACAGACCAGCACAGACCAGTATAAAGCAGGACAGGTGAGCACAGACCAGCACAGACCAGTATAAAGCAGGACCGGTCAGGACAGACCAGCACAGACCAGTATAAAGCAGGACCTGCAGGACAGACCAGCATAGACCAGCATAGACCAGTATAAAGCAGGACAGGTCAGCACAGACCAGCACAGACCAGTATAAAGCAGGACAGGTCAGCACAGACCAGCACAGACCAGTATAAAGCAGGACAGGTCAGCACAGACCAGCACAGACCAGTATAAAGCAGGACCTGCAGGACAGACCAGCATAGACCAGCATAGACCAGTATAAAGCAGGACAGGTCAGCACAGACCAGCACAGACCAGTATAAAGCAGGATGGGTCAGGACAGACCAGCACAGACCAGCACAGACCAGTATAAAGCAGGACGGGTCAGGACAGACCAGCACAGACCAGTATAAAGCAGGACAGGTCAGCACAGACCAGCACAGACCAGTATAAAGCAGGACGGGTCAGGACAGACCAGCACAGACCAGTATAAAGCAGGACGGGTCAGGACAGACCAGCACAGACCAGTATAAAGCAGGACAGGTCAGCACAGACCAGCACAGACCAGTATAAAGCAGGACAGGTCAGCACAGACCAGCACAGACCAGTATAAAGCAGGACAGGTCAGCACAGACCAGCACAGACCAGTATAAAGCAGGACAGGTCAGCACAGACCAGCACAGACCAGTATAAAGCAGGACAGGTCAGCACAGACCAGCACAGACCAGTATAAAGCAGGACGGGTCAGGACAGACCAGCATAGACCAGCACAGACCAGTATAAAGCAGGACCGGTCAGCACAGACCAGCACAGACCAGTATAAAGCAGGACAGGTCAGCACAGGTCAGCACAGACCAGCACAGACCAGTATAAAGCAGGACAGGTGAGCACAGACCAGCACAGACCAGTATAAAGCAGGTCAGGTGAGCACAGACCAGCACAGACCAGTATAAAGCAGGACAGGTCAGCACAGACCAGCACAGACCAGTATAAAGCAGGACCGGTCAGCACAGACCAGCACAGACCAGTATAAAGCAGGACAGGTGAGCACAGACCAGCACAGACCAGTATAAAGCAGGACAGGTGAGCACAGACCAGCACAGACCAGTATAAAGCAGGACAGGTCAGCACAGACCAGCACAGACCAGTATAAAGCAGGACCGGTCAGGACAGACCAGCATAGACCAGCACAGACCAGTATAAAGCAGGACGGGTCAGGACAGACCAGTATAGACCAGTATAAAGCAGGACGGGTCAGGACAGACCAGGACAGACCAGTATAAAGCAGGACGGGTCAGGACAGACCAGCACAGACCAGTATAAAGCAGGACAGGTCAGCACAGACCAGCACAGACCAGTATAAAGCAGGACCTGCAGGACAGACCAGCATAGACCAGCATAGACCAGTATAAAGCAGGACAGGTCAGCACAGACCAGCACAGACCAGTATAAAGCAGGACAGGTCAGGACAGACCAGCACAGACCAGTATAAAGCAGGACAGGTCAGCACAGACCAGCACAGACCAGTATAAAGCAGGACAGGTCAGCACAGACCAGCACAGACCAGTATAAAGCAGGACAGGTCAGCACAGACCAGCACAGACCAGCACAGACCAGTATAAAGCAGGACCGGTCAGGACAGACCAGCACAGACCAGTATAAAGCAGGACCTGCAGGACAGACCAGCATAGACCAGCATAGACCAGTATAAAGCAGGACAGGTCAGCACAGACCAGCACAGACCAGTATAAAGCAGGACAGGTCAGCACAGACCAGCACAGACCAGCACAGACCAGTATAAAGCAGGACAGGTCAGCACAGACCAGCACAGACCAGTATAAAGCAGGACCTGCAGGACAGACCAGCATAGACCAGCATAGACCAGTATAAAGCAGGACAGGTCAGCACAGACCAGCACAGACCAGTATAAAGCAGCACAGACCAGCACAGACCAGCACAGACCAGTATAAAGCAGGACGGGTCAGCACAGACCAGCACAGACCAGTATAAAGCAGGACAGGTCAGCACAGACCAGCACAGACCAGTATAAAGCAGGACGGGTCAGGACAGACCAGCACAGACCAGTATAAAGCAGGACGGGTCAGGACAGACCAGCACAGACCAGTATAAAGCAGGACAGGTCAGCACAGACCAGCACAGACCAGTATAAAGCAGGACAGGTCAGCACAGACCAGCACAGACCAGTATAAAGCAGGACAGGTCAGCACAGACCAGCACAGACCAGTATAAAGCAGGACAGGTCAGCACAGACCAGCACAGACCAGTATAAAGCAGGACAGGTCAGCACAGACCAGCACAGACCAGTATAAAGCAGGACGGGTCAGGACAGACCAGCACAGACCAGCACAGACCAGTATAAAGCAGGACAGGTCAGCACAGACCAGCACAGACCAGTATAAAGCAGGACAGGTCAGCACAGGTCAGCACAGACCAGTATAAAGCAGGACAGGTCAGCACAGACCAGCACAGACCAGTATAAAGCAGGACAGGTCAGCACAGACCAGCACAGACCAGTATAAAGCAGGACAGGTCAGCACAGACCAGCACAGACCAGTATAAAGCAGGACGGGTCAGGACAGACCAGCATAGACCAGCACAGACCAGTATAAAGCAGGACAGGTCAGGACAGACCAGCATAGACCAGTATAAAGCAGGACGGGTCAGGACAGACCAGCACAGACCAGTATAAAGCAGGACAGGTCAGCACAGACCAGCACAGACCAGTATAAAGCAGGACGGGTCAGCACAGACCAGCACAGACCAGTATAAAGCAGGACGGGTCAGGACAGACCAGCACAGACCAGTATAAAGCAGGACGGGTCAGCACAGACCAGCACAGACCAGCACAGACCAGTATAAAGCAGGACAGGTCAGCACAGACCAGCACAGACCAGTATAAAGCAGGACAGGTCAGCACAGACCAGCACAGACCAGTATAAAGCAGGACGGGTCAGGACAGACCAGCATAGACCAGCATAGACCAGTATAAAGCAGGACAGGTCAGCACAGACCAGCACAGACCAGTATAAAGCAGGACAGGTCAGCACAGACCAGCACAGACCAGCACAGACCAGTATAAAGCAGGACAGGTCAGCACAGACCAGCACAGACCAGTATAAAGCAGGACAGGTCAGCACAGACCAGGACAGACCAGCACAGACCAGTATAAAGCAGGACGGGTCAGGACAGACCAGGACAGACCAGCACAGACCAGTATAAAGCAGGACGGGTCAGCACAGACCAGCACAGACCAGTATAAAGCAGGACGGGTCAGCACAGACCAAACCTGGGGCCTCGTTTCTAAACGCTGCGTACGTCCACAACAGGGCTGGAAACGTGCGGACGCCACTTCCCAAGCACAGGTTGCCCTGAGGGAGACTGTGCGCCCTGGAAGTGAACTCATAAAGAGGAGAAACGGCGCCTCACATGGCAGAAGGATGAAACGCTTTGAAATGAAGAGGCGACTGCTGTGTGAAATAAATCCAGTATTCCAGGCTTAAAGCCTTTCTGAAGAAACAATAAGAAACATGATTTAAGATCATTTGCAGCCACAAAAAGATCCAGATTCAGGATCATAAACACAACATGTTTAATCAGGAGTCAGATTAATTAATACTTTATTTATTCTCCTAAATCAGGTGAACAGGAGACAAATGACGTTTAAACTCGCTGTTTTCAGTGCGTCAGTCCAGCAGGTAGAGAGCAGAGTTTCATATATTATTGTCAGATGTTCTTATGGAGCCAATCACTGAGCGCCAGCGTGTGGATGTGATGCGCTGCCTGTAAAAACAGGTTATGGAAAATAAAACTCTTTTATTGTCATTTCCAACAAGTGGTATTTATTTTAACTCGTCAGCAGCCTCGCTCAGTGAGCCGACTGTTTGTGTCGCCTCTTATTATCACAGTAACGCATTAATGAATTAACACAGACAATTATTTTACTGCACGTTAACACAGCTTTTATTATTATTATTATTAAGTGCGTATTTTTCCCACCAAACAGCTTCAGCAAAAGGAACGTGAGAGTCCCTGAGTTAGATTCAGAGTCTGCCTCCTTTTCTTCCTGCAGTCAGGAGGCATTAATATTAATGAGCTTCACTGAGCGTTTGGAGGGCCGGACATGGCGCTCCCTCACAGGGGCCACATTTCAAGTTGATTGTGATTTATAAAGAGAACTTGCTGACAGGTTTTATAAGTCTGAATATTTTTTGGTGTACGCCATTTTTGGCTTTTGGGAGCAAGGACACTTTTAGTGAGGATTCTACGCACAGTTCTATAAATGAGACGCCAGGACAGACCAGTAAAACCAGTCCATCTTCCTGCAGACTGGCTGGAGGCGGAGCGGAGCTACAAGGAGGCGCTGGTTTTATGTCCGGTTTGTTTCAGCAGAGAGCGAGCCGTGCTGTTCTCCAACAGAGCTGCTGCAAGACTGCACCTGGTAACAAGCTACATGCCAACATCACACCAACATTACGGCAACATCACACCAACAATACACCTTCATGCCAACAATATGGCAACATCACGCCAATAATACGCCAACATCACGGCGAAATCACGCCAATAATAGGCCAATAATACGGCAATATCACGCCAATAATACGCCATCATGCCAACAATACAGCAATAATACGGCGACATCTCGGCAACATCACGCCGACATCATGCCAATAATAGGCCAATAATATGCCAACTACACGCCAATAATACGCCAACATCACGCCAATAATACGCCGACATCTCGGCAACATCACGCCAATAATAGGCCAATAATAGGCCAACAACACGCCAATAATACGCCAACATCACGCCAATAATAGGCCAATAATATGCCAACTACACGCCAATAATACGCCAACATCACACCAATAATAGACCAATAATACGCCATCATGCCAATAATACGCCGACATCTCGGCAACATCACGCTAATAATAGGCCAATAATAGGCCAACATCACGCCAATAATACGCCAACATCACGCCAATAATAGGCCAATAATACGGCAATATCACGCCAATAATACGCCATCATGCCAACTACACGCCAATAATACGGCGACATCTCTGCAACATCACGCCAATAATAGGCCAACAACATGCCAACAACACGCCAATAATACGCCAACATCACGCCAATAATAGACCAATAATACGCCATCATGCCAATAATACGCCGACATCTCGGCAACATCACGCTAATAATAGGCCAATAATAGGCCAACATCACGCCAATAATACGCCAACATCACGCCAATAATACGGCGACATCTCGGCAACATCACGCCAATAATAGGCCAACATCACGCCAATAATACGGCAATAATCACGCCAATAATACGGCAACATCTCGCCAACATCACGCCAATAATACGGCAACATCACGCCAATAATACGGCAACATCTCGCCAATAATACGGCAACATCTCTGCAACATCACGCCAATAATACGGCAACATCTCGCCAACATCACGGTGACATCACGACAATAATACGGCAACATCACGGCAATAATATGGCAACATCACGCCAATAATACGCCAACATCACGCCAATAATAGGCCAATAATACGACAACAATATGCCAACATCACACCAGTAATATGGCAACATCACGGCGACATCACACCAATAATAGGCCAATAATAGGCCAACATCACGGCAATAATACGGCAACATCACGCCAATAATAGGCCAACATCACGGCAATAATAGGCCAATAATACGCCAACATCACGCCAACATCACGCCAGTAATATGGCAACATCTCGCCAACATCACGCCAATAATAGGGCAACATCTCGCTAACATCACGCCAATAATATAGCAACGTCTCGCCAACATCACGCCAATAATAGGCCAATAATACACCAACATCACGCCTATAATAGGCCAATAATACACCAACATCACGCCAACATCACGCCAATAATACGCCGACATCTCGGCGACATCACGGCAATAATAGGCCAACATCACGGCAATAATAGGCCAACATCACGGCAATAATACGGCGACATCTCGGCAACATCACGCCAACATCACGCCAATAATAGGCCAATAATACACCAACATCACGCCTATAATAGGCCAATAATACACCAACATCACGCCAACATCACGCCAAAATACGCCGACATCTCGGCGACATCACGGCAATAATAGGCCAACATCACGGCAATAATAGGCCAACATCACGGCAATAATAGGCCAACATCACGGCAATAATAGGCCAACATCACGGCAATAATAGGCCAACATCACGGCAATAATACGGCGACATCTCGGCAACATCACGCCGACATCACCCCAATAATACGCCAACAATATGCCAACATCACGCCAATAATACGCCAACAATATGCCAACATCACGCCAATAATACACCAACATCCAACATCGCACCAACATGCCAACATCTCGGCAACATAACGCCAATAATACGGCAACATCACGTCAATAATACGCCGACATCACACCAACAATACGCCAACATCACGTCAATAATACGCCGACATCACACCAACAATACGCCGACATCACACCAACAATACGCCGACATCACGCCAATAATACGCCGACATCACGCCAATAATACGCCAACATCACGCCAATAATACGCCAACATCACACCAACAATACGCAGACATCACACCAACAATACGCCGACATCACACCAACAATACGCCGACATCACGCCAATAATACGCCAACATCACGCCAATAATACGCTGACATCTCGGCAACATCACAGCGAAATCACGCCAATAATACGCCAACAATATGCCAACATCACGCCAATAATACGCCAACATCCAACACGCCAACATCTCGGCAACATGACGCCAATAATACGGCAACATGACGCCAATAATAGGCCAACATCACGCCAATAATACGCCAACATCACGGCGACATCATGCCAATAATACGCCAACAATATGCCGACATCACGCTAATAACACGCCAACATCCAACATTGCACCAACACGGCAACAACACGGCAACAACACGCGATCTGTGTTCGTGAATCATTTTCTGTTTTATGCGACTGAATGTGTGGCTCCAGAGTTCCTATTTTAGTTATTGATGATCAAACTCTCGGCCCGTCGCTCTTTAATGTGCCCCCCCTTATTTATCTGAGCTGCTTTATCCTTAATCACCTGCCCGTTCGCTCAGGTCAGCTGACAAACTTCTCCTGAGAGCGCCTAAAACCCCTTGCAAACTTAAAGGGACCGTTGCCTGTTACCATCAGACCCGCTTCCTGTCTGATTTTAAAACTTGTCTTCAAACCCATCTCTTCATCTGGCTTTTGACCTTTGACCCTTGGAGGAACTCATTTGTTAGTGTTTTAACGGTGTACGTTACGTGTATGTGATAACCGGTAAATTGATGTTTGCTTTTTTTATATCTCTGTACAGCACTGATTGTGCTCAGTAAATACATTTTGATTGATTGATGTCGCTGGGCGGAGCTGTAACCGCGTCTGTCTCCCTGTCAGGGTCTGAAGGACCTGGCGATCTCAGACTGCACCAGAGGTGAGTGATGACATCGTTCTGTAGGCTAACGGCAGCAGGGGGTCACCGATCGATCTGTGTACTGATTGGTCGTCTTGTTGCCGTAGCGATAGAGTTGAATCCTGACTACGTGCGGGCGCTGCTGAGGAGGGCGGAGCTTTACGAGCAGACGGAGAAGCTGGACGAGGCGCTGGAGGACTACAAGAAGGTTCTGGACCGAGACCCGAACCAGACCAGCGCCAGGCAGGCCTGCATGGTGAGTTCACTGACTGCTGGGACATCACACGGGTCTGTTAGTGACAGAAACAGGAGGGCGCAGCTGGCCTGTTGTTTATGTCGGAGATCAGGTTTCATTTAGATGACAGCCAATCACATGATGAAAGATCCTCTGCTCAGACCGTTCGATTACTTCATGTGGTGTTCACGAGTCGGCCATCCAACACGGAGCAGGACCGGCGTGCTAGGAAGGACGGCGGGGTAGGGTCCCGGCCCCAGGCGCTAAGGCCCGGACCCGGCCCCAGGCGCTCAGGCCCTCAAGTGATGGCGTGAAATAATCTGAAATAACATGATCAGGTCGGCCTGCAGACCACCAGGAGAAGTACGTTCACCACCGTGTTGTTCAGTAGCAAACCCCACAGTCCAACCACCAAAGAACGAGTCCTTGTCTCAGCCCAGATCTCCACAAGAGTCCGTCTCTCAACTGAAACCTCCTCTTCTGGATCCCAGCGAGCAAAGAAATAATTCAAAAGTTGGCCAACGAGAATAAACCCGAGTCAGAGAAGCTCTGTAATTCTCCGACATCAGCGGGGCCCCGGTCCCCCTGCAGCCGGCCGAGCGGCGCTCTGTGACTCGTGACAGCACACGTAACCTGTTTGTACATGAGGGCCCCAGGGCCCCAGGGGTTTCTTCATGAGGCCCCTGCTGTCTGAGCGAACTGTGTGATGTAGTAACGCACGAAGCCACCAGAAGGCAGCAGCAAATGTTTCACAATAAGAGTCTTGTTAAGAAATGAAGGGATTCTGTCCACTGAGGGCCAGCCTTCAAAATAAAATAGGAGCAAGTGTAGGCGCACTGATGAAGACCTGGACCCGCTGAAGACCTGGACCCACTGAGCTGCTGTTACAGGAAGGTTCTTTACCAGTGAAGCAGGAACATTGAACTGTCTCTAACCTGTCTCTGTCTCTCTCTACCTGTGTCTCTGTCTCTAACCTGTCTCTGTCTCTCTCTACCTGTGTCTCTGTCTCTAACCTGTCTCTGTCTCCCTCTACCTGTGTCTCTGTCTCTAACCTGTCTCTGTCTCTCTCTACCTGTCTCTAACCTGTCTCTGTCTCTCTCTACCTGTGTCTCTCTATCTCTAACCTGTCTGTATCTCTACCTGTCTCTCTGTCTCTAACCTGTCTGTCTCTCTCTACCTGTCTCTCTGTCTCTAACCTGTCTGTATCTCTACCTGTCTCTCTGTCTCTAACCTGTCTGTCTCTCTCTACCTGTGTCTCTGTCTCTAACTCTCTCTACCTGTCTGTATCTCTACCTGTCTCTCTGTCTCTAACCCGTCTCTCTCTACCTGTCTGTGTTTCAGAGGTTACCTCAGCAGATTCAGGAGAGAAACGAGAAGTTGAAGGAGGAGATGATGAGTACGTACTGCACCTAAACACACCACGTTAAAGGAACGGCACACTGTTCATTATGTTTTAGCTTCAGTGATCAACATGTGTAGCTGTTCTCAGGTCAGCTGTGTTCCAGCAGACGTCTCCTTACTGATCTGAAACACTTCCTGCTGCAGGCAAACTGAAGGACCTGGGGAACCTGGTCCTGAGGCCTTTCGGACTCTCCACCAACAACTTCCAGGTGAACCAGGATGCAGACACCGGCTCCTACTCCATCAACTTCGTCCAGAACCCAAACAACAACAACAGATGACATCACAGCCAGTGCAGTGACGTCATCACAGCCGCCAGTGCAGTGACGTCATCACAGCCGCCAGTGCAGTGACATGTAGATAAACCTGTTTGTGTTCAGAGGAAAATAAAACTGATTTGTTTCCTGTTTGGTTTCTTTGTGAAGCAGCAGACTCTCTGGTATCCATGGTAACTGATGCTGCAGGTCAGACCCGTTAAAGACCCCGTGTACGGGGTTCACTTTGAATTTCTTTCCAGCAGGAAATATTAGCACAAGTGCATTATACACGGCGTATCGGCAGTCTGTTCTAAACGGCGTGCACGGCGTAACGGTGAACAGTATGAATGTTTCACTCGGACTGAAGCGTCTCCTGAACCTCCGACTCTAAGAACTGATGAAGGGAAGTTTGATGAGGACCTGAATCCTGCAGGTGTGAAAACCTGGACTCGGGACTGATTTGATCTGTACTTCATCAGGACCACACAGAGGAGGAGGACTGTTCAGGTCTCTCTGCTTCAGGTGGATCCCCTGTCAAAGCCGCAGCTGAGCTCACTGTTCACCACCAACACGTTTCCATTAACACACACAGACTGAAGGTTCAACCCTTTATTAGTAACAGTTACTGACGTGATCAGTGTGTGATCAGTGTGTGATCAGTGTGTGATCAGTGTGTGCGTGTGCACGCTCCAGGTGTGGGTCACTGGGCTCTCCTGGACAGCAGCATCTCTCTGATGTTGTCTTCTGCTTCTTTCACGCTGCGTTCAAGGTACACCTTCTTCTGCTGGAAATCACACAACACACAGAGTCAGAGCACCGAACACACACGAGGACCCCCCGACAGTATTCCGTTGTGTATTTGTACCTCGAGCTCTTTGATTTTCTCGTCAGCTGTCTTTTGTTTGTCGGTCAGCTGATTGTTGATGTCCTCCTTCGACTGGAGGATGAACCTGAAACACACACACACACAGGTAAACACACCTGAGTGATGTCATGGCTCCTGTCAGTGCAACCTGTCCCGGTGGACCAGAGAGACTCACATGCGTCCGACGCCCTCGTACAGCCGCGTGTTGTCGGGCAGCGTGGTGATCTCGGCGTGCGTCAGCTTGGCGTGTTTCTGGACCCGGGTCAGCTGATCGATCTGCAGGTCGGCCAGCTTCACCTTCTGCTGCGTGTCGATCATCTTCACCTGCAGCTCAGAGAACGCCTGCGGGAGACGAGAGAGGCGTCACTCCCACCTGAACGCCTGATGAGAGGTTACCATGGAAACCAGTCACAGACACAGTCCTACACGAACAGTGACGGCCTTCAGGTGATCCTGACCCATAGGACAGGTGTGTCCCGGAGCGGTAACGTGGCCCCCAGTAGATGTCTCAGTGAAGCCTGCGGTAACGTGGCCCCCAGTAAATGTCTCAGTGGCCCTCAGTGAAGCCTGCGGTAACGTGGCCCTCAGTAAACGTCTCAGTGGCCCTCAGTGAAGCCTGCGGTAACGTGGCCCTCAGTAAACGTCTCAGTGAAGCCTGCGGTAACGTGGCCCCCAGTAAATGTCTTAGTGAAGCCTGCGGTAACGTGGCCCCCAGTAAATGTCTTAGTGAAGCCTGCGGTAACGTGGCCCCCAGTAAATGTCTCAGTGGCCCTCAGTGAAGCCTGCGGTAACGTGGCCCCCAGTAAATGTCTCAGTGGCCCTCAGTGAAGCCTGCGGTAACGTGGCCCTCAGTAAACGTCTCAGTGGCCCTCAGTGAAGCCTGCGGTACCGTGGCCCCCAGTAAATGTCTCAGTGGCCTTCAGTGAAGCCTGCGGTAACGTGGCCCCCAGTAAATGTCTCAGTGAAGCCTGCGGTAACGTGGCCCCCAGTAAATGTCTCAGTGAAGCCTGCGGTAACGTGGCCCCCAGTAAACGTCTCAGTGAAGCCTGCGGTAACGTGGCCCCCAGTAAACGTCTCAGTGAAGCCTGCGGTAACGTGGCCCTCAGTAAACGTCTCAGTGAGGCCCGCGGTAACGTGGCCCTCAGTAAACGTCTCAGTGAAGCCCGCGGTAACGTGGCCCTCAGTAAACGTCTCAGTGAAGCCCGCGGTAACGTGGCCCTCAGTAAACGTCTCAGTGAGGCCCGCGGTAACGTGGCCCTCAGTAAACGTCTCAGTGAGGCCCGCGGTAACGTGGCCCTCAGTAAACGTCTCAGTGAAGCCCGCGGTAACGTGGCCCTCAGTAAACGTCTCAGTGAAGCCCGCGGTAACGTGGCCCTCAGTAAACGTCTCAGTGAAGCCCGCGGTAACGTGGCCCTCAGTAAACGTCTCAGTGAGGCCCGCGGTAACGTGGCCCTCAGTAAACGTCTCAGTGAAGCCTGCGGTAACGTGGCCCTCAGTAAACGTCTCAGTGAGGCCCGCGGTAACGTGGCCCTCAGTAAACGTCTCAGTGAAGCCTGCGGTAACGTGGCCCTCAGTAAATGGCTCAGTGTCTGAAGCAGTGTGTTGCGTTCAGGCTCTGCAGGACAACAGAAACCCTCAGTCTGTTGAACCTAACCTCGTCCTGAGCAGCTCCGGGTTCTGGTCTACAGTCTATCTGGTCTCTGAAACATCTCAGGTGTCAGTCATCACCTGACTGTACCTGTGTCACTATGACAACCGACAGCACGAGCCGCCTGAGCTACCTTCTTCTCTGCTGTTAGATGTGTAAATTGGCGTTTTTATTTTTCTGACGCTCGCGCGCGCGTGTGATCGGTGTTAGCTGCTCGTGCTAACGTTAGCTCCGGTGTTAGCTTCAGAGCTGCTAACCGGCCGCTTGTTAAACGGGTGTAACGGCGCGTCGCGTGCGTCGGGTCGGTTGCCGTTCGCGGTAAAACCCAGAGAGCGCGTGAGCAGGTGAGATGAAGTTACCTTCTTCAGCTCCAGGTCTATGGGCGCAGCCATCTTCTCCTGCAGTCATCCACGTCCGCACTGCGCATGTCTGCTTCTTCTTCTCCTCTGGGTCCAGCCAAGATGGCGACCGCTGCCCCCTGCTGCCTTTTATCGATCCCTCCTGTTTGCGCGTCATGGTCAGGCTGAGCCAATCAGAGGCAGAGGAGGATCTGCTGCTGCTGCTTCTTGATGTGGAGCCGGTGGAGTCGAGATCAGGACTCTACAGTCATGCTGTTATTAATAATAAACTGAAGAGAATCATTAACCCCTCTGAGTCTGGATCATCAAAGTTTCTTCTTCCGGGGACCGTCCCGGTTTTGGGGGCCTGTCCCCAGAAATGTCCCCGTGTGTTTGTCTTTGTGAAACTTTACAGTTTGCAGTTTCCAGAGTAACCAGGCCGGACGCTTAGTGACTGTAGCCAATGACAGAAGCCTGTTGCTGCTGATGGAGGATGTGTTTGGTGGGAGGATGTCTAATATCCTTGTTCATATGTGGAAAACAGACTGTAGCCTCTGATTAACATGACTTACTGCTGACTTCTGTATAAAATAAAGACAAGATCTCAGTGATCCTATATTAACATTATAATGTTTAATGACCTACTGACCACCAAACCAAAAATGTCCCCAGTTTTCCTTTCAGAAATCTGGTCACCTTAATTTTAGATAAAGGTGTGTGAATGTCTTTAACTTTTTATCTGTGAGGTTCTGTATCGCAGACTTTATTTCCTCTGCTAGAAACGGAGTGAGACATCTTCTCACGCTGTTCGAGTAAAACATCTCAGCTCCGCTTTAGCCCCGCCCCGGAAACGGAACTCTCCGCGCGCGGGATTTAATTCAAGAAACAGCGCGCGGTCAGTCAGTCAGCCACTCTCCGCGCGGACAACGCAAACAAACAAACAAACAAACAAACAAACAAACAAACAACTAACTTTAAGGACAAAGCAGCGCGAGCAGGTTGTTTTCAACATGGCGACTCCACCGAAGAGATCGTGCCGTGTTCCCGCCAGTCCGCCGCTGGACGGCAGCTTCTCCCGCCGAGAGAAGAAGATCTCCATCGAGGGCAACATCGGTGAGTTCTGAAACCGCGGCATTTAGTCCCGGCCCGGTGACCGAGTGTCAGCCGGTCCTCCCGGTGAACACCGGGCGGCTGATGGCCGGTCTGTCCTCCCGCCTTCACGAGCCGTTTGGCGCCAAATGAAACTGATCAGTAATCAATAATCGGTGAAACTTGGGCTTCCGGTTCGCGTGTGAACGTGCTGGGTGGATAAAGTGTTGAGATGCGTAGTAACGTTACTACCTCTGTGTACAAATACTCTGTTAGAACAGGAGAAAGTCCTGCGTATTCTTACTTCGGGTGAAGTAACGTTACAGAAGTGTTAACTAAATATACCAAAAGTAAAAGTACTCATTATACAGTAGTATATTAGTATATTATGTGTGTAAGAGGAATGTAAATGTGGTATTTATTGTTTAACTACTTAATAATACTGCTTACTAGTTTAATCTACAGCAATACTTTATGTTTTGATTGTATGTGTCTAAAAACATGCTGTATTTACAGTAAGTACAGTATGAAATGTATTGTAGTATTAGTAAAATCATCATCCCTTTATGAGCACCTGGAAAACCTCTGTGTACCTGAACCTGCCGGGTTTAACCTGTCTCTGTCTGTCTCTAACCTGTCTGTCTCTAACCTGTCTGTCTCTGACCTGTCTGTCTCTGCCTGTCTGTCTCTGTCTGTCTCCGTCTGTCTGTCTCTGTCTGTCTGTCTCTAACCTGTCTGTCTGTCTCCGTCTGTCTGTCTCCATCTGTCTGTCTCTAACCTGTCTGTCTCTGTCTGTCTGTCTCTAACCTGTCTGTCTCTAACCTGTCTGTCTCTAACCTGTCTGTCTCTGTCTGTCTGTCTCTGTCTGTCTATCTCTAATCTGTCTATCTCTAACCTGTCTGTCTCTGTCTGTCTATCTCTAACCTGTCTATCTCTAACCTGTCTGTCTCTGTCTGTCTATCTCTAACCTGTCTATCTCTAACCTGTCTGTCTCTGTCTGTCTATCTCTAACCTGTCTCCGTCTGTCTGTCTCCGTCTGTCTGTCTCTAACCTGTCTCTGTCTGTCTATCTCTAACCTGTCTCCGTCTGTCTGTCTGTCTCTGTCTCCGTCTGTCTGTCTCCGTCTGTCTATCTCTAACCTGTCTCTGTCTGTCTGTCTCTGTCTGTCTATCTCTAACCTGTCTCCGTCTGTCTGTCTCTAACCTGTCTCTGTCTCTAACCTGTCTCTAACCTGTCTGTCACCGTCTGTCTGTCTCCGTCTGTCTGTCTCTGTCTGTCTGTCTCTAACCTGTCTCTGTCTGTCTGTCTCTAACCTGTCTCTGTCTCCGTCTGTCTGTCTCTAACCTGTCTGTCTCTGTCTGTCTGTCTCTAACCTGTCTCCGTCTGTCTGTCTCTAACCTGTCTCCGTCTGTCTGTCTCTAACCTGTCTCTGTCTCTAACCTGTCTCTGTCTCCGTCTGTCTGTCTCTGTCTGTCTGTCTCTAACCTGTCTCTGTCTCCGTCTGTCTGTCTCTAACCTGTCTGTCTCTAACCTGTCTCTAACCTGTCTCTGTCTCTAACCTGTCTCTGTCTCCGTCTGTCTGTCTCTGTCTGTCTGTCTCTAACCTGTCTCTGTCTCCGTCTGTCTGTCTCTAACCTGTCTCTGTCTGTCTGTCTGTCTCTAACCTGTCTCTGTCTCTGTCTGTCTGTCTCTAACCTGTCTCTGTCTCCGTCTGTCTGTCTTTGTCTGTCTATCTCTAACCTGTCTCTGTCTGTGTCTCAGCTGCAGGAAAGTCCACCTTGGTGCGCCTCCTTCAGGAGGCGTCGGAGGACTGGGAGGTGATTCCTGAACCCATCGGGAAATGGTGTAACGTCCAGAACGACAGCGACATTTACCAGGTGAACATGCAGCACCTGAACACAACACGCTGTTACGTTGCAGGCTCCTCTGTAGAGTCCTACACATGCAGGGCCACATCTCACCTGTTTACCTGTTTACCTGTGTGCAGGAGCTGAGCTCCTCTCAGAAGAGTGGAGGAAACCTGCTGCAGATGTTATACGATAAACCGAGCCGCTGGTCGTACACCTTCCAGGTAACTACACCTGACTCCGCCCACTCAGCAGCAGCAGGTGCTTCAGTGAAACTCACCTGTGTCTCTCTCTGTAGAGCTACGCCAGTCTGAGCAGAGTTCGCTCTCAGCTTCAGCCTCCGTCTCTCAAACTTCAGCAGGCCGAAAACCCCGTTCAGTTCTACGAGCGCTCCGTCTACTCAGACAGGTAACCAGCCCCACCTGAGACAGGTGACCCCACCCCCACCTGAGACAGGTGACCCCACACACACATGACTTACGTGAATGACTAATCATTCATGCAGCACACCTGGACGCACCGCCGCTCACTGAACAGATCTCTGGCTCACTGCCACAAACAACTGTCTCCACCTGCTGGCATGTAAAGCCGTCTGCTCCCAGCGCTGTTCCACAGACTTCTATTCCTGTCATCATCACGCATAGACCAGTGTGTGTCCGCCTCAATATGATTGCTTTAGTCAACCGAGGGTCAGTGGTCGTGGTGGTGGGCTAGTGAGCGTGTATAGGAAAAATTTTAAATGTCATCAAGTACGCTGTGATGAGTTTAACTCCTTTGAAGTTCTCACTCTTAAAGTTGGAGGGCTGCAACCACCTCATATTTGTTATAATTTATCGCCCCCCAAAACAGCCAGCAGGATTTTTATCAGAACTTCCTGAATCTACTCTGGTTTTAAATTATGACAGAATTGTTCTTTGTGGCGATTTTAATATTCATGTTGATGACCCCAACAATGTTAATGCAACTGACTTTTTAAATATGGCCACTTCTTTTAACTTCAGACAACATGTCAAAGGGCAAACACATAACCGTGGTCATACACTGGACTTGGTTTTTACCCTGGGTGTCAGCATTTCCTCTGTGGAATTAGTGGACATGACCATATCTGACCACAGATGTATTGTTTTTAGCTGCGATTCGCCTGTTACTAATGCCGCCTCACCGAGCTCTGTGTGTTCTCGCATCTTTAATGAACAAAGTGTTTTAAAGTTTTGCACATTCTTTCAGAGCCAAAGCCAACACCTGTCTGATTCCAACATTTGATCTCTGTTTTCAACAGCTCCCTATCTACTGGTTGTGTCCCTGATTATTTTAAAACGGCTTGCATGAACCCACTTTTAAAGAAACCTGGTTTAGATCCCTCCCTCCCACATAATTTTAGACCAATTTCAAAACTGCCTTTTATTGCAAAGATTCTAGAAAGAATTGTGTCCAAACAGCTGCTCACTGTGCTGGAAAATAACAAATTATTTGAAAAGTTTCAGTCTGGTTTCAGGAAGTACCACAGCACTGAGACTGCTTAAAGTCACCAATGACCTTTTAATGTCTGCTGATGAAGGCATGTGCTCAGTCCTGGTACTCCTGGACCTTAGCGCTGCTTTTGACACCATTGATCACAGCATCATGTTAGACAGACTGAGGCACTGGGTGGGGATCTCTGGTACTGCTCTAGAATGGTTTTCACACAGGTGAAAACAGGTGACCACACACCCCCCCACCCACCTGAGGCAGGGTTAGGGTACTGCAGTATAACCCTGTGTACTGTGTGTACAGGTACGTGTTTGCGTCCAACCTGTTTGAGTGCGGGAGCCTGACAGAAACGGAGTGGAGTGTTTTTCAGGACTGGCACACCTGGTTACTGAACCAGTTCGAACCGGACATCGCCCTCGACGCCATCATCTACCTGAGAGCTCAGCCGCAGGTAAACTGCTGCTGAAGAGTAGCGCCGCCTTCAGGCTCACTTGTTTGTGCCGTGTGTTTCAGCGCCGCCTTCAGGCTCACGTGTTTGTCTGTATATTTCAGCGCTGTATGCAGCGGCTGCTCCACCGGGGCAGGGAGGAGGAGGAGGGGATTCCTCTGGAGTACCTCGAACAGCTTCACTTCAAACATGAGGCCTGGCTCTTTAACAGGACCCTCAGGTGAGACGCCACTGAGCACGCTCAGAACATGTTAGATTAGTGTTCTAGATCTGTGATTGAAAGCAGTGCTGCGTTCAAGGTCACATTAACCTGTCTGTGTGTGTTCAGGTTGGACTTTGAGTACCTGAACGATCTCCCCGTTCTCGTTCTGGACGTCAACGACGACTTCAAGAACGATCGGATCAAACAGGAAGCCGTCATCAACAAGGTTCCTGTCATTTCCTACTGGCGTTCTGAAGAGTTCTGTATTTTTTGGTCTGATCTGGACTCTGTTTCTCCCGCAGGTCCGAGAGTTCCTTACCACGCTGTAGAACGCCATCCACCAATCACAGCTCAGGATGGAGCGGTGGGTTGATCTGATTGGACGGCCCAGCTCCACCTCACCTCCTGTATATTTTTACTCTTGTATTTTTGTAGATAAATGCTGGAATGTTCTCTGCAGCAGCTCTGACAGTCAGAGAGTCAGTGAAGGCATCGTGAGTGTATTTACTGGAATTAGCTTTGATATTTATGCTTCAGTCTGAATCATCTCTCCTCGGAGGCAAAGTGCTTGTTTGTCCTGACAGTGAGGTATCAGTGAACTCACCATGATGCCTTTAGGGACAGTTGGAGGTTTTTCTCTGTAAATATGTTTGAATAAAGAAACTCAGACTGTAAAACGAGTAAAAGCTTTTTATTTTTGTTCAGACTTTGTTGTTTTAAAATGAATCTGTAGCATAAACAGCTGCAGAAACATCCGGGTAGTACATGTACTACATGTAGTACGCTGTGTACTGGAACAGTATTACAGTATTCTGAACATGTACTGATGCAGTACTTTGTCAGCTTCAGGGGTTTAATAATAATGACCAGCAGGTGGCAGTGATGTTTTTGTACTACGTTTTGTCAGACCCTCAGGGGGTGAGTGTTGGTGTACAAACAAATAACATCTGAGACACCAGCTGTGATGTCACACTGACAACCAATCAGTGGTCAGTCTGCAGGTCACAGTAGAGGACATCTGTGCTAACAGCGGCTGACAATGATTGTAGAGTTTAACAGGTGTGTTAATTTTCAACATTTAAACTCCGTGTTCCTTTGTTCACCGTGACTTGACACCGTGTTTCACACGCATTAACACACAAACACACACTAAGACACACACTCGCAGGTGGAGTCGTGATGAGTCCACCGGTTCCTTTACACCCGGCAGCACTGAAACGTCCCACGGTTGCTGAACGCATGTTTTTATATTTAATTTTTTAAAACGTGGAAGTCTTCAGGAGTCTGGAGATGTGAGGTTTCCCCTGCAGGGTGGAGATAAGATTAATGAGTGACAGGTGAACACGGTGATCTTTGACTTCTGCGGGGTCGCACGGTCCATAAATGTCTCGCCGTCAGCAGGTAAATGAATCATCAGCTGACCAAACCTCAGACCCCCGCCACAGACATTGGGTTTCGCTGCGGCGTTTCTTCATCAGGCTCTGACGCGCCATGTGACTCTTCTGCACAAAATGGACCTACTGCGTTCCACCTGCTTCAATCAAGAGGAACGGGTCGTTATAAAAACATCACAGCAGAACAAGGAGCTAACTGAGCATGCTAACCGCCAACACATGTTCACTAAGCCTCACATGGTGAAAGTAGTTTCTGGTAGTTTGGGTCGGATCACACTCCAACCACAAACAAACCGAGACCACCTCCTCTCAGGGCCGAGGGGGTCCGGTCTGGTCTACTGGTCACGGCCATCGGTTGTAAAAGTAAATCTACCGTTGAAGGAAGTCTGGGTCTGGCTACCAGCACTCAGGCCGGGACCGGACTTCCATTCTTTTATGGCTCCGATTGAAATGCTTCGATACTGACAAGTGTCCAAAAATATCACGTAGTACCAAATGTCGATACCTAAAGAATAAATCTGTAAATGCCCCGGCGCACCGTCTCCTCACCACCGAACGGTACTTTGGTGCTCGTTGTTTCTGATCGATGGAACTCTGGAGAATCTAACTGATGTTAACGACGAGTCCATACTGACGCGAGTTTAAAAACATGACACCGGGGAGGGAAAATGGCTGATTGGACCCAATGTGGACATTTTCACTGAGGGGTGTCCTCACTTTTGTTGAGAGATTAATGGCTGTGTGATGTGTTATTTTGAGGGGACAGCAAATTTACACTGTTATACAAGCTGTACGCTCACTACATTACACTGTTCTACAAGATCCACACTCACTACTTTACACAAGCTGTACGCTCACTACTTTACACAAGCTGTACGCTCACTACTTTACACTGTTCTACAAGATGCACGCTCACTACTTTACACTGTTCTACAAGCTGTACGCTCACTACTTTACACAAGCTGTACGCTCACTACTTTACACTGTTCTACAAGATGCACGCTCACTACTTTACACAAGCTGTACGCTCACTACTTTACACAAGCTGTACGCTCACTACTTTACACTGTTCTACAAGATGCACGCTCACTACTTTACACTGTTATACAAGCTGTACGCTCACTACTTTACACTGTTACATAAGCTGTACGCTCACTACTTTACACAAGCTGTACGCTCACTACTTTACACTGTTACACAAGCTCTACGCTCACTACTTTACACTGTCATACAAGCTGCACACTCACTACTTTACACTGTTATACAAGCTGTACGCTCACTACTTTACACAAGCTGCACGCACACTACTTTACACTGTTCTACAAGATGCACGCTCACTACTTTACACTGTTATACAAGCTGTACGCTCACTACTTTACACAAGCTGTACGCTCACTACTTTACACTGTTATACAAGCTGCACGCTCACTACTTTACACAAGCTGTACGCTCACTACTTTACACTGTTATACAAGCTGCACGCTCACTACTTTACACAAGCGGCACGCTCACTACTTTACACAAGCTGTACGCTCACTACTTTACACTGTCATACAAGCTGCACGCTCACTACTCTACACTGTTATACAAGCTGCACGCTCACTACTTTACACTGTTACACAAGCTGTACGCTCACTACTTTACACTGTCATACAAGCTGCACACTCACTACATTACACTGTTATACAAGCTGCACGCTCACTACTTTACACAAGCTGTACACTCACTACTTTACACTGTCATACAAGCTGCACGCTCACTACTTTACACTGTTATAGAAGCTGCACACTCACTACTTTACACAAGCTGTACGCTCACTACTTTACACAAGCTGCACACTCACTACTTTACACTGTTATACAAGCTGCACGCTCACTACTTTACACAAGCTGCACACTCACTACTTTACACTGTTATACAAGCTGCACGCTCACTACTTTACACAAGCTGTACGCTCACTACTTTACACTGTTATACAAGCTGCACGCTCACTACTTTACACAAGCGGCACGCTCACTACTTTACACAAGCTGTACGCTCACTACTTTACACTGTCATACAAGCTGCACGCTCACTACTTTACACTGTCATACACTGTCATACAAGCTGTACGCTCACTACTTTACACTGTCATACAAGCTGCACACTCACTACATTACACTGTTATACAAGCTGCACGCTCACTACTTTACACAAGCTGTACACTCACTACTTTACACTGTCATACAAGCTGCACGCTCACTACTTTACACAAGCTGCACACTCACTACTTTACACTGTCATACAAGCTGCACGCTCACTACTTTACACTGTTACACAAGCTGTACGCTCACTACTTTACACTGTTATAGAAGCTGCACACTCACTACTTTACACTGTTATACAAGCTGTACGCTCACTACTTTACACTGTTATAGAAGCTGCACACTCACTACTTTACACTGTTATACAAGCTGTACGCTATACAAACTGCACGCTCACTACTTTACACTGTTATACAAGCTGTACGCTATACAAGCTGCACGCTCACTACTTTACACTGTTATACAAGCTGCACGCTCACTACTTTACACAAGCTGTACACTCACTACTTTACACTGTCATACAAGCTGCACGCTCACTACTTTACACAAGCTGCACACTCACTACTTTACACTGTTATACAAGCTGCACGCTCACTACTTTACACAAGCTGTACACTCACTACTTTACACTGTCATACAAGCTGCACGCTCACTACTTTACACAAGCTGCACACTCACTACTTTACACTGTCATACAAGCTGCACGCTCACTACTTTACACTGTTACACAAGCTGTACGCTCACTACTTTACACTGTTATAGAAGCTGCACACTCACTACTTTACACTGTTATACAAGCTGTACGCTCACTACTTTACACTGTTATAGAAGCTGCACACTCACTACTTTACACTGTTATACAAGCTGCACGCTCACTACTTTACACAAGCTGTACACTCACTACTTTACACTGTCATACAAGCTGCACGCTCACTACTTTACACAAGCTGCACACTCACTACTTTACACTGTCATACAAGCTGCACGCTCACTACTTTACACTGTTACACAAGCTGTACGCTCACTACTTTACACTGTTATAGAAGCTGCACACTCACTACTTTACACTGTTATACAAGCTGTACGCTCACTACTTTACACTGTTATAGAAGCTGCACACTCACTACTTTACACTGTTATACAAGCTGCACGCTCACTACTTTACACTGTTATACAAGCTGTACGCTATACAAGCTGCACGCTCACTACTTTACACTGTTATACAAGCTGCACGCTCACTACTTTACACAAGCTGTACACTCACTACTTTACACTGTCATACAAGCTGCACGCTCACTACTTTACACAAGCTGCACACTCACTACTTTACACTGTCATACAAGCTGCACGCTCACTACTTTACACTGTTACACAAGCTGTACGCTCACTACTTTACACTGTTATAGAAGCTGCACACACTACTTTACACTGTTATACAAGCTGCACGCTCACTACTTTACACTGTTATAGAAGCTGCACACTCACTACTTTACACTGTTACACAAGCTGTACGCTCACTACTTTACACTGTTATAGAAGCTGCACACACTACTTTACACTGTTATACAAGCTGCACGCTCACTACTTTACACTGTTATAGAAGCTGCACACTCACTACTTTACACTATTATACAAGCTGCACGCTCACTACTTTACACTGTTATACAAGCTGTACAGTCACTACTTTACACAGTATAACAGTGTAAAGTAGTATATATACTATACTTGAGGTTGTTGGAGCTTGACTGGTCTTGGCTGACGTACTGCTGACGTATTGCGGTAAGCGTGTCGACTCATTTCCGTTTCCGGTGCCTGTGTGTTGGTACCGTGTTGCGCTGCTCTCGCTAAATATCAGTTACATTTGTTTGATTACAGCGGCCAACTGTCCGCTAAACACTTATTCTTTACAGTAATTTTGCCTAAGCACTCACAGTTCTTTCCATCTTTTAGTGACTGCTGTTCAATCTCATAGTTGTTCTAAAGTTTTGGTAACTGACGCTACAGTACTTTAGCTTAGCCGTTAGCGACTTTAGCTTAGCAGCTAGCGATGGCGTCTCCTCCTCCCTCTCTCTCTCCTACTTTCTCCTGCTCGGTGTGTCAGATGTTCAGTTACTCCTCTGCCTCCTTTAGCGGTAATGGTACGTGTAATAAGTGTAGTTTATTTATAGACATGGAGGCGAAGGAGGAATAGTCGTAAGC